ATGCGGAGGATACGGCGATTGAGAATGTCCAACCTCTCCAGTTGGGACTTCGTAATGGTAGACCAAGCAGGGTATCCATAAAGAAAGAGTGGAAGAATGTAAGATTTATAAAAACATACCCTACAACTGGTGGGTAAGTGAGAGAAATGGGACGCCATGATGCCTACAGTACGTGAAACACGGGACAAAACGTGATCATATGTCCTCCAACACAATCCCCACAGAGGATCCGAATCCATCTTGAGCAGGGGCTCAATGTCCAACACCAGAAGGAGCTATTCTGCCTATCTGTCTCCTGCAATGATGCATGTGCCTTTCCAACAAGCCTGTAGGTTGGATTTCTTTGGCCACGACTGTATTATTTTGTCAAAAGGGTGAAGACTCCACTGAGTGCGTTCGATTACACACTTGAATCGATTCATGAATCCATTCGCATGCATTCAAGTCGTTCGATTTTCATGTCATGAGCCCTAGAATCGATTCGGAATCGATTCACTCTATTCATATGGGATGATGTGAATAGCGCGAATCGATTCATGAATCGATTCGCGAATCGATTCATGAATCGATTCGCGAATCGATTCACGTGCATAATCGAATGCACTCACTGTAGCCATCCACTATATCCAGTCATCTTCACAAGAATCAGCTCGAAACGGTCTCCAGGGTACACCTATAGGCTATAGGTAAAAGAAAGATGACATCATCATTCGACTGTACTTGAACTACAGTGCTGGACTGAAATCCGACCCCATGAAATCCGACCCCATGAAGTCCGACCCCCCTGAAATCCGACCCCTGAAATCCGATCCCCTGAAATCCGACCCCCTGAGCGGTGGGTTCACTTTCTTTGCGACGTGAGCCCACCGCTCAGGGGGTCAATCGAAATCCTCAGTTGCCAGCACTGTAGTTTGTATAGAGTATAGAGGGGCATGGTCTCACCGTAACGTTGCTGTACTCCGCATAGCTGGATCCAAAGACCACCGGGTAGGTGAGAGAGAACGAATCCCCGCTGACCTGAGTATCCGCAAGCGGTGTCAGCATAGACTCATTCATGTCTGTGCAGCATGGGTGGTGACAATTGCATGGAGCACACACACAGAGACAGTCAGATAATGCATGCAAGGGCAAAAAACACATGGACACAGACAGACAAACACATACACACACACACACACACACACACACACACGAAAAGATGGACAGACAACCCCAAGTGTAAACCAAACAATTTCTTTTAAACATCTTTGCCAAAGTCGCCACCGATATTTCAAATCTTACTCGAACAACAGCACAGTATAGAGAAGAAAAACAAGACAAGTTATGCATGGTGATGACGGCAGAGTCAGTTCTTTTTATTGTTTTTAAATTGTTGTCTCTGCGGCGTTTATTCGACACGGCGTTTGTTGAATCTACAGGTAATAGGGACCTTTCGCATCTGCTGAGAATCGAATGCGAAACGAAAGTTTGATTCGGCTCGTCCTCGTTTCGTTGAAAATAGATTCAGGTTTCGCAAGTCGTCGTGCTAATTTCCATGGCAACTATGAATAGCTTGGCGTACGCGCGTTTACACGAACACGTGCATGGATCATGGAATCAAGGAAAAATGTGTACCTGGTAAAAAATGTGCACCTTGGAAAAAATGTGTACCTGACGGATTCAGAGCGCGTCACAAATGAAGTGGCTTCAATTCGTGAAAACGAGCCCTCGTAAGGGACTCTGACGAATCCTCGAACCCAGGCGACGAATCAGCATTCGTTTCGTTGCGAAAGGTCCCTAATATAGAGCAAGAACAACCAGGAACCCCTGTGACATATGTACTCGCTTACTTAGGCAGCCTGCTTGCTCGGTGTAGTATTGAGCGGCGTCCGTGCACTCATGACACCGCTGTCCCGTGTAACCAGGTAGGCACGAACATTCGCCGCTGGTCACGCTGCACTCGCTGCTTTTAGAGCCAACGGGAGAGCAACGGCAATCTATGGGAGAGAGATAGATAGATAGATAGATAGATAGATAGATAGATAGAGAGAGAAAAGGGAGAAGTGAATACAGCGAAAGCATAACGTACAAACACATGTGCGCACATGCACACACATAACGTACAGGTATGGGGAAACGTGATGTTACAAGTAGTAGTTATTATTGTGACTGCCCAGGCAGAATGTATTCACATTGGCATTTCCTCTCCCTCGTCGCCTTTTCCTCCCCTACCAAAGCTTGGCCCACTATACCAGGGTTGATACAAAGGGAAATTCGTCTGGCCACCAACCTCTCGCATACACGCGTAACAACATAAGTTAGTATTGCCATGCATGCACATGCACACAAACTCGCTGACGGATGGAAACTAGTATTGTCCCCATACACAAACAGAAAAAGTGAGTGGGGAGAGAGCGTGGGGAGAGTGGAGAGTAGGGAGTGAGTGGGGAGAGAGGGTGGGGAGAGTGGAGAGTAGGGAGTGAGTGGGGAGAGAGGGTGGGGAGAGTGGAGAGTGGGGAGTGAGTGAGTGGGGAGAGTGGGGAGAGAGGAGAGAGAGAGAGAGAGAGAGAGGGGAAGGAGTGAATGGGGAGAGAGGGGAGAATGGGGAGGGTACGGGGTGGGGGTGGGGGATAAGGCGAAGTAGTGATCCCAGTTCATTCTTTTGCTGCATTTGTCTTACCTTGACACGGCTGACCGTCTGTGGACTTAGCACACGACTGGGAAGTACTGTTCTGCTTGAAGAATCCAGGCAGGCACTGAGCACAGTCGAGTCCGCTGCTGCCGGGCTTGCACGCACACTGGCCATTGTTTGCCTGGTCGCACACAGCATGCAGTGAGCCCTCGGCGGAACAGCTGCACGCCGGGCAGCCTGCACTCAGATCAAAGTAGCCCAGCGAACAGTACTGGCACTGGTGGCCGCTGAAGTTCGGCAGACAGTTGCAGATACCCGTCCTGCTGTCACAGCTGGTGTTGCCGACGGCAGTGCGTGCAGAGTCGCAGGAGCAGGCAGCACAGCCACTCAGCTTGCCCGTAAGCTGGTAGTAGTCGTCAATGCAGCGATCGCACAGACTACCCGTAATGTTTGGCTTGCAGTAGCACGTGCCGTTTGTCATGTCACACGACTCCGAGCCTAGTTGATCGCATGCGCACGGCTCGCAGAAGATTCCGCCGCTATCACGACGCTGGAAAGCAGGGCAGTCCAGCACTGCAAGCGTACAAACACACACACACACACACACACACACACACACACACATGCACGCGTGCGCACACACACACACAAACACACACACACACACAAATTAGCCACAACCCTGCCATTTCTTGCGCTGGTTCACGGAAACAATACGGTGACACTAGCTTGCAGTACAGTGGCAGTTTCTGACTACAGACATGAACACTTGGACGTAAAATCAATCATCTAGAGTGATGCTGCTGCTACCGAACCCGGCAGTGTGTACCAGGTGTTACACCACCTCCAGGTGCTATGGACACTGTACATGTGCTGTTGCAGAAGAAGGATGCACGAGCGGGATTCCAACAGAACACCCATGTCTTTCCGGGATAGTGCCCTAGCTAGACTAGCTGGGATCACGCATTCATCCATGGCTCCTTCTAGCCACCGTGACGATCAATGACTGGGATCGCGCATTCATCCATGGCTCCTTCTAGCAACAGTGCTGGACAATGACTTACATGAAACGCAGAGTGTGCAGCTCGGATGGGTGGCTGCCATGGCGAAGTTCCACGATTACGTTATTCTAGCGATGTAGTGCGTACAAGCAGGATTCAAGCAGGTCTCTTTCCGCACAACTGCAGCTCAGTTGTACACACTACGCCACTTCCCGCCTCAGATCTGCTCCAAATACAGTCAAACCTCGCTTATCCGGTCCTCTTTTATCCAGATCCCTCGCCATCCGGATGAAAATTGTTTTTACCGATCACAGCATATGCCATGCATGCATACAGTATGTGTGTTCGATTATCCGGTTCCCTCGCCTATCCGGATGTTTTTGTGGAAAAAACGGATGTGTGGCGTTAAGCGAGGTCTGACTGTATGATGAAATACTTACATGACTGGCATCTATCACCGGTGAAACCCGCTCTACAGCGACATTGGAATGCACCCACTTGATTGATGCATGTAGCGTTGTTCAGGCATGGTTTGGACATACATTCATCATCGTCTGGTTAGGCAATGCAGCCGAGGTGCCGCCGCCACAATGTGCATAAACACATACACACACACACACACCCATGCACACACACAGGCACGCACACACACACACACACACACACACACACACACACACACACACACACACACACACACACACACACACACACACACACACACACACACACACACACACACACAAACACACACACACACACACACACACACACACACACACACACACACACATGAACAGACACACGAACATACACAAAACAATGGATCGTTCTAAAACACTGCGAGCTCTGAAGAGAATGTCACAAGGATGACAACCACATGGATAGGCCCCAGAAATAGCATTCATACGGAGACAATTTGAATTTTGTTGACTGATGGTGAAAAACAAAAATCCAAACTATAAGGCCCCGCATTACCGTATTTCCCCGATTATAAGTCACACTCTATTATAAGTCACACCCCGATTTTCAGGTCTGAGCAATATCGTTTTGTTATATTGTCTACAGTAGTATGTCATGCTCGACTGTAAGTCGCACCCCTATTTTACCCTTGGTTTATTGTGTTTTTTAAAGGTGTAAGACTTACATCCGGGGAAATACGGTATGCTGCTGAACAAATGCTAGTGTCGGCGGGGTCATGACATGCCGCCGCCACGATCTGCCATGATCTGCTTCTTGACACAGTGCTCTAGAAGACGAGACACAATGGTCAGCACAGAGACTGGCCGATAGTTTCCTGCGACTGCAGTGTCCCCGCTCTTCAACAAAGGGCTAACATGTGACAGTTTGAAGCATGCGGATACAGCACGACTTGAGAGTGACATATTAATGATTCTAGCAAGGCGAGGAGCAAGAATACTTTCACAGCACTGCAAAACAATACCAGGAATTCAGTCACTGCCACTAGCTTTGTGCGGGTTGACGCAGGCCAGACATTGCTCAATGTTTTGCACACTGACAGGTTGAAAGGACTCCAAAGCTGCTTGTTGTAAAGGGCCAAGGGGCGCCTGAAGCGCAGCTGGTCGGGCTGGATCATGCACAATCTCACCGAAGAAAGTACTCAGGGTTTCGATGGGCGCCTCTGGAGTCTGCCGCTATGTCTTCCGGCCGGTGATATTGTTCATAATGGCCCATAGCTGTCGCTGATTGGATGTGGCACCCTGGCGGATGAAATAGGAGTTCCAGAGAGATCTATCTAGCTTCCTGGCAGCTGTACGTGCTGTACGGTGAGCAGCTCGACGTTCCTCATTACCACGGTCTTGCATACACAAGGGATGAAGCCGCCATGATTGCGTTCCCGGACCAGTTGTACCAGCTCAGGCGTGAGCCATGGGCATGGCCGCTTGTCCTTCTTCCCGGTTGCAACCAGAGGGGCGTGCCGGTCCAGCACATCATGAATTCCTGCAATAAAGTCTGAGGCCATGTCATCATCACTATGGGCATTGGTAGTACTCAGCCTTGCTGCCAGGTCCTGATTGAAATCGGGCCAGTTAATTTTGTGCAGGCGGCGCCTTCTGATCGCTATCTCTCCTTTCATCCGGCAGGATGTTGGTGTACGTATGTGAGCCAAAACAGCAAAGTGATCACTGATATCGAGATTATACTGTCTCACATGGACCCTCAAGTGGAGTGCAGTAGGTCAATCATCGACTGCGTCTGTGCTGCCGGTAACGCGAGTTGGCGATACCACGTAGTTGCGGAGGTTGAACCGTGCAAGTATGTTTTGTAGGGGTTGTGCAGAGGGCGTAGACGGAGTACTGAAGTCGACGCCGGTTGAAGTCTCTCAAAAGACCTGTACTCTGCTGGCGGCCAGCACATGCTTGATCCAGAGCTTGCTCAAAGTCACTCCAATAGGCCACTGGCCGCTGAGGTGGGTAATATCCACAACTAAGGAGAGTGCTCGAAACACCCTGACCAAATTCTACCCACAGAATTTCCAAATCCTGGCATTGCAGGTCCAGCCTCCGTCGTACCTGTAGTGAGTCATGCTAGTATAGAGCTATACCACCTCCATGCAACACTGAACACTGAACGGTCTTTCCTGTGTTCTAAACACACGGCGAGGAGACAATAATTTGATAACCGCAATCAATAAAACTAGCTGAACCGACGTTAATGTTCTAGGTGTAATGTACTGCTGTTATGTGTTATCACGTTGTCTTTCCTTCCTTTCTCCTTTGTTCATTTCTCGCTTTGATTGTTAAAATTCACACTTGTAAATTTTACTGTTGTTGCTCTTAGTGTTATTTCTCTAACTTAGATTTTCAATAATAGTTCAATTTTTGTTTCAGTGTCCTTTAGTACAACGACGATTCCTGATAAGTGTTGTACGAAAACTTGTTTGAATCCATATTTTTTTCCCTACACCATTTCTTCATATTTTCATCGTTTTATTGCACATCGTCTCCACCGTTTTTACATTGCATGAATAAAGTATACAAATGTCGGTTCAGCTAGTTATATTTTCTAAGTTCGATTTTTTCAGCTGGTTCCAATCATCGCCGCCGGCATTTGGGATTGCTGCTGCTTCACTTCGGCTTGCTGTTTGGTGTCGAGAAGTCTTTTCAGCGCCGTTGTTGAGTAGCCTTTGTAAGAATAGACCGTTTTGCAAAGATTGCAAGTAGCCCTGGTCTTCGCTGCATCGCGGGAGAAAATTTCCAAACAACTGAGCGTAACTTTCACTCGAATGGAGAGGTGACCGAAGCATATCCTACGACAGGTCAGCAGATGTAGAACAAGACATCAGTGGAGTCCATCAAAAGTGCATTACGGCAAATCCCAGTTCGTGCCAAAAGCCACTTGCTACTCGGCGTATTCTGGCAAGGCAGCTACTATTACGAGCGGGTGCTACCGTTTGGGCTTCGCTCCAGCACAGCCATTTTCGATTCCGTTGACTCGGCCATAGAGTAGATTATCCGCAACCATTTCTCCATTGCCGACCTATACCACTACTTGGACGACTTTCTAACCGTCGCAACTGGCCATACTGTCGCCCAGCGTCAACTAGCTATCCTGCCACGGGCCTTCATCACGGGCCTTCATCTATTTGGGCGTGCCGCTAGCGCCAGCAAAGGTGAAAGGTCCCGCGAGATCACTGACGTTCCTCAGCATTATCCTGGACTGCGAGCGGCTCGACACCAGGCTCCCCATGGACAAGCTCACCTACCTCTGATCGCTATTGGCCAGCACAATAAACAGTCAGAAGATATCCCAACGCCAACTCGAGTCCCTATTGGGCAAGCTCTCGTTTGCTGCCCGTGTCATCACTCCAGGCCGTACCTTCATGCGTCATCTGTGGTCCGTCTGCTCACGGCTTGAGCAACCACACTACTCAATAACTTTGACCCAAGAAGGCGTGGATGACCTGCGATGGTGGACAAGGCTGCTTAGTGAGAGGAACGGGAAGTCCTTCTTCTTGCACCCTAACTGGACTCCATCACCAGATCTCCAGCTATACACAGATGCAAGTGCCACTCACGGCTGGGGTGCCAACTTGAGTGGCTCTAAATACTGGAGTGCACATCCAAGACGTGCTAGAGCTGATTGCCAGTTAGGTGTAGAACATCAGTGCCATTGGTCAGTGTCGTCATGGCAATGTTGTCGCATCAGCGGATTGTAAAGTAAACGGTGGTGTTAGTGAATATTATAGCGCAGCTTGTAGCTTTTCTAATTGTCCGCAAACTCCAAAGCAGCCATTTACACATTTACGAAACTTCCCTTCTCAACTCCAAAAACGTTCTCTTCACTGCAATTCAAATTCAAATTTACATTTACATTACAGTATATTGTCATGGCTGGCCCCATCATCAGTGTAATTAAGACCTTGCAACTTGTAGCTCTTTGCTTGAATTTAGATGTACCAATCTATTTAGAACTGCTACCCACAGTCAACTGGGAATTTGTGGCCAGGCGCAAGGTGTACATGGTGTGATATCTGAGCAAGCGTTGTACAAACGCGTCATAAGTTGTTATCTTATTACTTATGTTGCCTGCATGCATATGCGCCTGCCTGTTGTTTTGTTGTCTTGTCTTGCTCTGAACGAGTGATATACAAGTCTTGAGTTTCCCCTATCTGACAAGTGTGTCTTGGTCTTGTGTAGTGCCTGGGTTGCATGTAACACATGGATGCAGGTAATATGGGGTTTCTCGTCACTTGTGCCAGTGGTTGTGAAGCTTATCCCCCCCTCCCCCCCCCCCCCACCCCCACCCAGGCGCTGCATCTGCCGCTAGGGTTTAATGGGTGTCAGTAGACGTCATGAATTCTCTTCCGGAACGGGCGCGATAATTTTATCTTTTTCAATTTCTATTTCAAAGTCTACTGAACTCAACAGTGCATGTTGGTACTGACGTGAGGGCATTCCAAAGGGAGCTACCAGAAATCCGTCCTGGAAAAACCATCAGGATTCTGCCTTTAAATAAATGCTTCAATCCTCCCTGTTTCCAAAATGTGGTGAGCGGTGACAAACACAAGTCACGTCACTTGTCGCGTCACTTGCACTTGTCATTATTATTATTATTATTTTTATTCTCACGATGGCCGTAGCCAATAAGAGAGAGAGACAGTACTATGTGTTATCAATCAGAGTGGGTGCAATAAACCGGGAGAAACAGTGGCTAGTGGCAGCCGTGGTTTGGGTGCTTCATTCAAGTAAAGACAAGGAAGGAAGCATATCCATTGCGAAGGCAGGTAGGCGATAGACCTGCACGGCATCACTTTCTCTGGGGCGCGCTGGTGCAAGATCGCGACAGTACAGGCACAGAAGTGGCAAAGCAAAATATCAACTACAGCTTCTCCTTCTCTACAAAGCGAACACTACAAACTCGGCGACACTTAGCAGTTTACTTGAAATAAATAGTCTCGCTCGCGCACTCCTCAGTCAAAATGATGCTGTAACTGTGCTCACTGCATGCGGCTGCAACTGGAAACACGACAAGTTCAGGTGACGCGACTTTTGTTTGTCACCACTTGGCCAAGTAACTACGCGTTGTCAAGAAGCTGTGATGTCAGACTTCGAATTTTATGCCACACAGATGTGTACTTTTTTCTTTCTTTTGTACCGAGAGCACAACCTACTCTTCAGAAAGGGAGAAGACAACAGAATATGCACTAACAAAACAGCAGGGAGAGCAGGGGCTGCAAAGCAAGCCTGTGCTGGCGAGGCAAGCACATAAGACCGATCTCGCTCCCATTCAAAATCAATTCTCTATTACTACTCTCTTACCCTCACAGCGAGGCACAGACGTAAGTTTACCTCCAAGTGAACAAGTCTGTCTGGCATCACCCACAAGCCTGAAACCTCTATCGCATGAAAAGACCACAGGTTCCGCTCCACTGACCACCCCTGTTCTGTCAGTAACTCCGTTAGCAATGGTTGGCACACTACAATCCCCAGCTGCGCACAGAATGATAACGAAGACAATCACAACATGTAACACGAAATATGTCATTTTATGCAATGGTTGTTTATACAAGTCTATCCACATTACAGGTCTACTCTCCATATAACGTAATCTCTGGGACCACGCAAAAATTATTTTATTTCGAGAGGTATTTTACTCATGAGGTATTTTACTCATGTTGTGTTATCGCAACACGTACTTGTCTTTCAGTGCATGCACACTTTGTGCGACCCCCGGAAGGGGGAAATCCTGTACCGAGCGTTAGGCTGTGTTTACATGAGGCGTTTCAACCCGTGTCAGATTTCAACCCGCCATGTACACAAAATGAATGGCGCGTTTACATGACGCATTGCGCTTGACCCGGGTTGAAATTTTGCCGCGGGTTGATTTCAACCCTCCCCCAAGGAGAGGGTTGAAATCGGGTTGATTTCAACCCTTCCCCAAAGGGGAGGGTTGAAATCAATCCGTGTCGAGAAAATCGCACTAACGTACTTCTGTGCGTATCTCGCGCCAGGTTTGAATAGCACTGCACATGCAAATTTCGCGCGAAAGTATTCACGTGACAATACAGGTTTCTAGAAGTGGACTTTTGGCGGCATATCAGTATTTGACCCGGTCAACTGTCTTCATGTAAACGCTCACCTATTTTGTCTTTCGTACAGACTTTCAACCCGGGCTGAACTTGACCCGGGTTGAAACCTCTCATGTAAACACACCCTAAGTACCATTCTACTCATTTAAGCCTAGTTCACATTTGACGGGGTGCGACGGGACGCGACGTAAGGATCGGGAACGCAACCGTACTGCCGTACGGATCGGAAAGCTACGCGAAGAGTTGGATCGATCCAACTTTTCATACCGTAGACAGGCGTAGCCGGGGACACAAGCGTACAAAACAGCTGCATTGTGAGTGTGAACAGGAGTCGGCGTCGTGCGCCGACTAATCCAGATTCGTACTTGGAAATTTTTAGCATTTCGATCACGGGGCTTTCCATGATAACTCGCAGAATGGCTAACACAACTTGAGTTAAATTTCAGCAAGAAAAAGTCTGATGTCATTTATGGTATTTAGGGATAGTTGAGGAGCGTGACAGACGAACTGTTTTATCATTTCCTGGAGCTATCATATGAATGGCACACCTTTCGAAGCTACTTTTTTGGTGTTCATGAAAAATTGGTATTGTGGACTTGACTCTGCTTCATTCAAGAAGAAATAATTGAAAAGGAGTCCCAAAAAACAAGAAATTAGGTCCAAATATCACCCTGCCACGGACCGTGCCTTATGACTGGCGCCGTTCGCTGTTGAACGAGGCAACGACTGCAGCATGTCGTGTCATAGAATCGTACAAGATTTTACAGCTCTCCCCAGCCTTCCCGACAGGCCCTTACGTCCCATAGCGTCAGCGTTCCGTCGAATGTGAACTAGGCTTTAGCCGATAAAATCGAAATAACCGCTCGATCTATTTCTTATCGACTAAGTAACGAGTAATCGATATAATCGTTTCAGCACTATCGACGGTATACCGTCGATATTTAAGTCCACCACCTTGTCTATAGCTAGATGATGAACTTAGAGGAGTCAGGCTATACACTATCACACAACAGCAGAATCAACCAACAACTGCTACCGCATGCCAGAGCCAGAAAACACACCCATGCCACCTTTCTCCTTGTCACGGACAGACAGAGAGACAGACAGACAGACAGACAGACAGACAGACAGACAGACAGACAGACAGACAGACAGACAGACAGACAGACAGACAGACAGACAGACAGACAGACAGACAGACAGACAGACAGACAGACTGACAGACAGACAGACAGACAGACAGGCAGGCAGGCAGACAGACAGACAGACAGACAGACATACTGACAGACAGACAGGCAGGCAGACAGACAGACGGACAGACAGACAGACAGACAGACAGACAGACAGACAGACAGACCGACAGACAGACAGACAGACAGACAGACAGACAGACAGACAGACAGACAGACAGACTTGTACTTGTACTTGGTGCTCACTGCCAAAACTGGTCACGTGGGTCTCCCCGGGAGAGGGGAGAGAGACTCAAAAGGAATCTTGGAAAGATGGCTCAATTGGCTATTGAACCGCCCAACGACCGACACCCCCTGAAATCCCCAAAACTCTGGGTGGACTTGAAAATGATCCCACTTATGGGCTCACCACACCTCAGTAAGTGGGTGAGGACAAGGTGCAGAAAAAGGATTGACGGCATCAGGGTATCCGTCCCGGGATCCAACTGCAGTTACCCCTGCCCCCAGTGAAGGTAATACTTGGTACTAGTGTGGGTGGCTAAATCAGAGTGAATCTGATATAAGCGTCACTAGCACCATAGATTACACAAGAGTTAATCTAGCCAGAAGCAGTCCATGGTTAACAGGTATGTATACTTCAAATAGAAAGTATATAAACCCTGAAACCAACAAAGGTGGCAGATACAACAATACACCATCATGCAGCCGAGCCTGACAGACAGACAGACAGACAGACAGACAGACAGACAGACAGGCAGACAGACAGACAGACAGACAGACAGACAGACAGACAGACAGACAGACAGACAAACAGACAGACAGACAGACAGACAGAGAGGGGAGAACTACTGGCGGTAGGTAAAACGAAAAAATCCCTTGTCCATATGGTCGGATATAGATACAGGTCTGTTCTCGATATAACAACTCTCACTTGTACATAAACCTCGCTAGTAAGTAAAAAAATCAAATCCCGCGCCGAAACAGCATCACTCCCATACAAATTTTGTTCTACACAACATAATCCTACATAACATAAACCTCGACATAACACATGCTACGGCGGTCCCTCACGTGCCCACTCTCGATACAACGTAAATTCATGTGCACCATACGTAGGTGTAACTAGGCAGTTTAGGCCAGTTTAGTCCTACATAACGTAAACCTCGGCATAACGTACCCGCGGTCCCCGGCGTGCACACTCTCGATACAAAGTAGATTCATGTGCGCGGTACAATCAAGCTGTAACCGTATCTAGCCAGTTCAGTCCTATTGTGCATATATTCTGCGGCATTGATGGCATCTGATGTCGATGGTGGTACAGTGTGTATATGTTTGCACGGTTGAACCCGCCTTGTAATACCCTTCATTTTCAGGTACATCTTTTATGTTATGCAGACAAGTACAAGCGCGATCAGAGAAACATCGACGCGATCACCGTCGCCGTCTTTTGAGCTGACTACATACTTTTCTTACATACAGCATGCAGGACTGGCAGGCTTAGTATGTGTATACACTATAGCTGCAGGGGCTGGAGTTCCCTCCGCGTGCGAGTAGTCTTGAGCTAAAGACAGTAAAGTGGTCTTCAGTTTCGTTTTTTCCGTTCTGTGGCCGGTTCCCGAACCAGTTTGCTCGACGTCGAGCTAGGCCTGGCGTCTGGGCCTATTTTGAGCATAGACAGCAAAAGCAACTAGTTACTTGTTGGCGCGCCTCAAGTCAGCTCATTCGTCGAATTCCGATGATCTTCACCCATGGTCGGCTTGTCTGACTTCATCGCCGGAGTCGGCGAAGTCACAGGCGAAGGGCACCATCAGCTATTGAACTGTAACCAGTGCATCGCCTCTGTCTTCTCTGTATTCGTCTGGTCAGTCCGAACAGCTGACGGACTTGTTGCGGGATCATCGGATCTATGCACCTGCTTTCCGTCGTTGGCGATGTTGGACTCGTAAAAAATTTGAAATTCACAGAATGTACATGATTGTACTGATGTACACTCGGACGTCTCTTATCCGGGCACCTTGGGACCCCGCACTGTCCGTATCTCAGATCTGGCTACTAAATTGGCACCTATACGCCTACACACGGAGATTGTACACACCGTAAAGTCTTGTAAAAAAAGCCGCACTTGAATAGAAGCTATATATAATAGAAGCCGCAGTTTTGGGCCCATCAAATCACACATAAGCCTGGTTTTAGTGTTGACATACATAGAAATACCTGTCTTGTATAGAAGCCTGTCTCATATAGAAGCCTGCAACATTTCACCAAGAAAGTCATAGAAGCCACGGCTGTTATACAAGACTTTACGGTAATGCAAATCGTCAGATTCCGACATTGATATGATACTGCCAAAATAAGTCGACTTCGGAGCGGAAACGAACGCTATAGCCATCACAGACTTCAGTGGCCGTGCCTCACTCGCAATTGAGAGCATCATTGCCCCCAAATCACTGTCCGATGGCTCCATAAGGTCGTGCGCAAGTCGCACTGCGCTGCCGTCACTCAGGTAGGTAGAAAGTCGATGGCCTAAAATTCCGTCTCTGGGAGACTGTCGACACGGGGATCACTCTCCATGGCTTCCCCACCATAAGCACCATCAGATTCTTCCAGGTACATCATGACGACATCGTCTACAGCGGCCGGAGCTCCGATATTTGCGTGAGAATTTACTTGGCGTGCGCTCCGCTCTGCAAATTGTAATTCGCTTGCATCGGCGGCTGGAACGAAGTATTTATCTATCTGTCGTGGGTCCCAGAGCGAAGGTCTGCTAGGTCCTCGTCGGAGAAGTCATCTGAGGACGAAAGGAACTCACTGCGCAAGAGGAAATGCACCTGACGACGTTTTGACGGAGGCAGACGGCACTGTCGGTGCCCGTGTATTTCCGTAAGTTTTCGATCGCGTAGTTCTCAATAAAATCAAATGGGACACGCGCAGATCTCTTCAGCTACGGATAGGATCAAACCTAGGCTGTGTGAGGGCCACAGGAAATCCCCGTAGGCTGATGCTTCCTGTTATACCAGGTATGGTTTTAGCATGCATGTCTAATGCGTCGTTTACCACTCATTCAAGTATGGGGCTGCCGGTAAAGGGTTAAAAAGATATTGCGGTTCGCGCCAGACTCGGCTGGAGGTTGAGTTCTCCGCATCCGTAGGAACACCACCACTACCACCCTTCAAAGATCTTAACTAAAACCATGTCATAAACTTGCAACATGTTGAAAACGAATGATTAATGCAGACCGACTTACCTATTTCGCAAATAACGTAAAACTTGTCAGTGAAGAGCCGCAGCACACCTTCGGTAGTCATAACCTGCCCGTTTAAGTACTGTCCACTCCACGCTACATACTCCTGAGTTGCCAGTCCAGTGGCGCATCCAGCTTGGAACGATGACTGCGAGAGCACTTTTCCTTTATAGAACGAGCACATGGCGACCGATGTGTTGTAGTCGAGTTGGAGACCAACAATGCTGATTCTTGCAATGCTTTTAGATGCGGTGCATGGTCTAGCTCCAGTCAGTTCTGAGATTAAGCACATAACACACGCACACAGTGCACAATCAGCACCATGGTAACACACCTTGAAACCAAGTAACCAAAGCAACACTGGCTGCATGAAGTATAGAACCTGAATTCGGTTACTGTACATATTATTATTATTATTATTATTATTGTCTTTATTCTCACGGTGGCCGTAGCCAATAAGAGAGAGAGAGACAGTACTATGTGTTATCAATCAGAGTGGGTGCAATAAACCGGGAGAAACAGTGGCTAGTGGCAGCCGTGGTTTGGGTGCTTCATTTAAGTTCAGACGAGGAGGGAAGTATATCCATTGCAAAGGCAGGTAGGCGATATACCTTGATTAAAATACTATACCTAGGCTGGGCTACAGCGGGGGTTGGATCATGTGCAAATTGATGATACTGTGATCGGGGTAACTTCTCTTCTGAATGCATTTATTTCTCGGAGTGAGTAACAGTGTGGTGGCAGGTGGTTGTACTGAGTGCATGCGGAGTACAAGGGCGAACGTTGATCGCGGGTGGAGTGGGTGGTGGGGAGGGTAAAGACTCGATGACGCCTCAATTCTCAGCTTAGTGGCTCGGTGATGTAGCCTGAGGTCTCAAGCTGGATGTGTGGCGGGGATCGTTTGACAACGATGGTGTGTGCAAAGAGTAGCTGCTTGAGCTTCCTGCGGGATGAGAGGGTTGGCAAAGTGATGTGGTGGAGTAACGAACTGTGGTGGCAAGGACTGAAGAGGGGGAGTCGGAGGCAGAGTTTTGCTGACCGCCGTTGGAGACGTTCGAGGGCATCTTGTTGCTGAACATTCATAGCTGACATAGCCCGAGAACCATATTCGATAACGGGGCGCATATACATGGTGTACAGTGCTGAAAGGGCGGTGGGTGAAAGACGTCCACGAATCCGTCTCAAGAGGTGGAGAGTGCGCGCAACTTTGCTCTCGATGTGCTGGATGTGGGCATTCCACTTCAGGTTGGCCTGAACGATGATACCCAGGTGTCGCTGGCTCTGGACTCTGTTCAGTGTTTTGCCTTTCAACGTTATTGTCTGGGGGAAAGCATCGCACAGTGTCATCACGACCGTCTTCATTTCGTTGACGGTCAGGTGCCAGGTGTCGAGCCACGTAGCGGCTTTAGTCACACTGGACTGGAGCGCTCGTTCTGCTGCCGCTGCTGAGTGGTCGCTAGCGATTAATGCGGTGTCGTCAGCGAAGAGGCTGCTTCGTGTGGCTTGGGAGTTGCAAGCTGCTGGTAGGTCCATCATGTATACGAGGAATAGCAGCGGGCCGAGTACCGATCCCTGAGGTACTCCTGCAGGGATGTCAAGCCAGTCGGAGGATGTGCTTCCGATTCGGACCTGCTGTCTCCGGCCCAGGAGGTAGCTCTCAAACCAGCTGAGTGCTGCACCCCTTACGCCATGGTGTTCAAGCTTGTGCAAGAGGCCACGGTGCCACACGCGGTCGAAGGCCTTAGAGAGGTCAAAGAAGCAGACGTGGACTGACTTCTTGACCTCAAGGTCCGCAGCAAGTTCGTGCAGCAGGCGGCTTATTTGGTACTCTGTGCTGTCGATCTTCCTGAAGCCTGACTGTTCTGGAGGGAGATGGGGTTGGATTTGCCTGTAGAGAGCTTTGTGGGCGATGTCAGATATATATGACGAGTTGTAATTATTCCACTCCGGATTGTGATTGTTTGCGTCTTTTCGAGCATTCATATTTGCGCGTCTTTTATCCCTTTTATTTTGTGAGTGCAGCAAAACGGTTTTGGCGTGGTTCTTTTCCTTTTGACTGGATAGTCCAGTTGTTGTGTTTCCTGTCACCACATTGTGACAATGTCGTAGTAATAAATTATATTCTAATACAGTCTTCTATGGTCGTGGGTCGATCGTCTTCGGACGAATATTCTTACGTATCGGACAGGCGATTCTTTCTTGCAGTTTTGATACGACGGGTAGGAGGGAGATAGGACAATAGTTTGTGGGACAGGCTCGACTGCCCTTCTTGAAGATTGGAGACACCATGGCATCTTGCCAGTCTCTCGGGACTTGTCCATGGGTGAAGGAGTGATTATTGTTAAGGAAGGGGCGATGCGGTCGGCAGTGGGCTTCAGAAGAATAGACGGGATTCCGTCCGGGCCCGCACTTTTGTTGGTGTCAATGTGACGAAGGAGCTCGAGTACCTCCACTTCAGTGGCGGTGACATCCTGGAGTGTCCTGTCAGTAACCCTCGGCGTGTGGATGGGAGGAGGAGGGCCGGTGCACCCATGGAGTGACTGCCTGCTCTGCTCAACGAAGAAGTTGTTGAAGGCTGTAGCCTTGTCGAGGTCAGAGCTAATGGTGTTCCCATCACATTCCAAGTCGGGTACGCCACGCTGTACTGAGGTTCTAAGGAGGGACATCACATTGCACAAGTTGCGGCGATTGAACGCCACACCGTGCTCATCCACCGTCTTCATATGAGAAGACAAGTCGAATTGGAGAATTGCAATTTTGTTAGACAGCTATTCTACTACAAAATTCATGCGGAGGTATGGTGTTAAGTGATGTCTGCATTCTTGGTATTACAGTTAGCTAGAATGTGCCTCTAATTTCCTAGTACTTTTGAAATTCTCCGTGAAGTCCAAATTTGAAATTGGAATATATATATTAATTTCAAAGGTGAACACAGAGGCAGAAGAGAACAGAACAACCGGCTACGTCATTGTTGTAACTATCCTGTGTTTCAAGCACACAGCAAAGCTAAGGCAATCCTCGCAAAATACCTAATCTGTACATTATCTGGCTACAAACTTATACCCAGGGAAGAAGCATATTGGGACACTAAAGTTAGGGTAGGACATGTGAAAGCAAACAGAGTGCCACACTGTGTTTCCGGAAAGCGTTCTCCATGCGCTTGTTTTGGGGAAGTCCTTCAAACTTCCCAGACGCGCAAATATCATATTGACCCTTTCTACATACTCAATCTCCTTCACGAGTGCAAATTATTGGGTTTCTTATGGGGGGGGGGGGGGTATAATTACAAAGAATTATAAAGAATTCATCTTTTCAATCCTATTAAATTAGGCCTTCGTGCGCCAACATGAGTAGAAACATGTAACTTACCATGATATCGGCACTGTACTGAACCGGCTGTCGATGCTTCTCGCCAAGAGACACAGGCTAGACAAAAAGGGTACAGCATATCCACAGTGTGTGGGTACAAGAGACCATTAGCTACGCATGTGGTCAAGAGTACATAAACCAAAGTGTGCAACCGTGCATATCAGATCCGAAACTGCGCAGTTCGTGCACTACGTCACCCTGATGAGGTCAGCCAAGCTGCGACTTGCAAACAGCTCAAATTTTCGTGTTTCACAATCCGGAAATCAGCCAGGTTTGCATGATTTAGACGTTCTGTTTTAGGATTTCGGTGGTTTTGTGTGACTGTGTAAGCTGTGTACATGCACTGGCAAGTAAAGCGCCATTTTGTTCTTATAAAAGCACGGATGACCGCGATTGGCCCATATATTGTAGTCTTTTGGACGCTGAGTCGACTGGTTTTGGTCCGAAAAGGCTACGATGCAGCGTTCCTCCTTTATTCCCATTCGAACATGGTTGAACAAGAGGCCACGTGCTCCTGCGTACACCAGTCACTTGGTCACCGTGCCTGCAGGGTACAACTTACTAGCCTGTTTGACCTTTTTGGGTGCAGTCCTGTCACTCGAGTTGAACTCGAGTTGAACCTTGGTGTGAAAGTTGTCGCCTGCTGGCATGGTGACCAGGTGATTTGGGCACCAAGGAGCACGTGACCGCTTGTGCAACCGTGTTCGATTGGGAATAAAGGAGGAACGCTGCATCACAGCTTTCTCGGACCAAAACCAGTCGACTCAGCGCCCTAAAGACTACAACATATGTGCCAATCGCGGTCATCCGGGCATTCATAAGAACGAAATGGCACCTTTAGGGACATTTTGCATACAAACCCCCATCTAATAGGGCAAAGTCACCCAGTTTCGGTGGAAGTGCGCGAGTTCGTTTGGGATTAAAGCAGGAAGGGAGCGTCTCATCTTCCTCGGACCAAGACCATTCGACTCAGCACCCCGAAGACTACAACTGGTGAAATTTTGATTTTAGCCTTAACTTCCCCTTGAAGGTAGGTATAAAATTAATACATAATTATATGTATTTTCCAACTGTTGATCGTCACAAGAAAATGTTCTTGCAAACCGGACTTTCCGGACTTTCCGGACTTTCAACGCTCTCACACGTGTACTAGATCTAGAGGCGATTGCAGCGGAACAATAACTCGATCAGCTACTCTCACATACTGATCGATTTCTTTCTCGATCTCTCTCTCTCCCTCTCTCTCTCTCTCTCTCTCTCCCCCTCCCCCCCTCTCTCTCACACACTCCCTCCCCTCCTCTCTCCCACACTCTCCCTTCTCTCTCTCTCTCTCTCTCTCTCTCTCTCTCTCTCTCTCTCTCTCTCTCTCTCTCTCTCTCTCTCTCTCTCTCTCTCTCTCTCTCTCTCTCTCTCTCTCCCTCTCCCTCTCTCTCTCTCTCTCTCTCTCTCTCTCTCTCTCTCTCTCTCTCTCTCTCTCTCTCTCTCTCTCTCTCTCTCTCTCTCTCTCTCTCTCTCTCTCTCTCTCTCTCTCTCGCTCTCTCGCTCTCTCTCCTCTCCCCTCTCTCTCTCTTTCTCTCTCTCTCTCTCTCTCTCTCTCTCTCTCACTCTCTCTCTCTCTCCCTCTCCCTCTCCCTCTCACTCATTTCCTCAATTTCTTCGTGTGTTCTCTCTGTCATAATTATTATATCTACGATCCAAACACGACCCAAGCTTGATTTTTCGTCATTAATCACCTTACACATCCTTTTTTCATAAATGTTTTAGCCTGCTCTGTGTCCATACTCCATAAATTCATGCTCTATGTCTCGTGATTCAATCATTTTTATCCGCTTTCATAATTATTATAACCTTCTGCATGATTCTAATCATTTTATGCATACATTTTCATTCACTTTTCATCATTTTGTCGGAACTAGGTCTCCGGACCTGGTGAGAAGGCAGAAATGCCTGTTCACTTGGTGAAGTAAAATAAAATAAACAAACAAACAAACAAACAAGCAAACAAACAAACAACCTTGAGACCTACACACCTCGCCTTGTATGTTTAAAGTATGAGTGCGCAAATTATTTATTCATAGCATTACCAGAGGATGTAGCCAGTGTGCTGACAGTGCGCAACACCACGGATGCAGAGCGTAATACAAAACAACAATGACAATCAAGGCTTGGTTGCTGCTACTTCAAGCTTCATCCTCTCGCAATCAGCAGGCAAAAGTGTTTCGTTGTTTTGTATTCAACTAATCTACTTGGAGATAAAAGTTTAATAATAGCAATGAAAAGTATGAATGCCGCAGACATCACCACGCAACATGACAATTTAAATTGTCATGTTGCGTGGTGATGTCTGCGGCATTCATACTTTTCATTGTTTTGTATTCATAGCATTAAAACAAAACCGATGTTCAAATTTCTGCTGGACTTACGTATCTCGCATAAAACCGGGAACGTCTGGTTCAGCGGAACCTCAACCCCGTTGACAATCTTAGCTGTGCCTGTATCTGTGGGAGTACCTGACCACCCTTGTATAGTCGTACTTGACAGGCCCATTGTGCATCCAGCATTGACGGATTCATTGGAAATGATTGATCCGTTGTACAGCCGGCATAGTTGATCTGCTGAATGGTAATCCACTTGAATGGGGTCGTACATTGCTATAGACTGCTTAGTCATTGAACCACAGTAACGGTAATTGGTTGGTGTAAAAGCTGAAGGCATGCACACAAACAGTATCATACAGAATCATCATCGCACCGGCACACACACACAGTGCTATTTTTTTATTTTTTATTTGTTATTATCTTTATTCTCACGGTGGCCGTAGCCAATAAGAGAGAGAGACAGTACTATGTGTTATTAATCAGAGTGGGTGCAATAAACCGGGAGAAACGGTGGCTAGTGGCAGCCGTGGTTTGGGTGCTTCATTTAAGTAAAGACGAAGAAGGAAGTATATCCATTGCGAAGGCAGGTAGGCGATTTTATTTTTCCTCATAGCCTAGGAGCTGTGGCATCATTTATGATCTCCAGCAAGAAGGCAGCAATGCCTGTACCTACGGTGAAGTAAAATAAAGGTAACATAACATAACACAAAAACATGCCTGTACAAACTTGTTCTTGCTGGCAATCAGGCATGGTGATGACAATTCTTGCAAGATCATTGGACAATATATTCGCTTATGCCCTTCATAGCTGAGACTCTGAGCTTGTGCTGGTCCTGGTTGCACTCTCTCCCGCATCCTATGTTATTACCATAACTTGAAACGTTCCAAGTTGGAAGGTTGTTGGATTGAACATCCAAGACATGCTTGAGCCGATTGGTTGTTATTTGTAGTTTTTTTACAAGTACCATCCGTCAGTTTTCATGGAATGTTATCACATGAGCTGATTGTGAAGTATCTGGCGGGGTGAGTGGACATAACAGCATAACTTGTAGTTTAGTGGTCCCTTCCTTTGCTATTAACTAATCCTTGGCTCTGCATCCGAGTCTTTTCAAAGCTGGGTTTGCATGACAACGCTCGGCCAGTTTTCTGTTTTCAGTCCCGCATTTCTTTTTCGTTTTGTGCGTTTACACGATCAAAGCTGATCCGAGGCCCGAGGCCAGGTGGTTGCCGTTTGTATCGTTTTGCGGGTCTACACGGGATCCCACTTAGACGCGCGAGGAGAGGATCCGTCAAAGTTCGTCATGTACCAAGTGTTGTCGTGGAAGCACTAAATCACACTCAAGTAATAATTGAAAACAGGCCACACGGCAATACTACTCACATGACGAACATTGCAAAAACAAATTGTTTTTGATTTTCAGATCTCTGTGAACGGGCGGAAATGAAACAAACATGACGGAGACGAGGCCTAGAATGCCGTTTCGACTGTTCACACATCCAAATTCATCCGGCAGAATATCACTGTTTTCAAAGTCCTCCATCTTGGCTAAGGTTTGGTTTTCTTCCGCTTTGGTGTACAACCATTACGCATTGCTCCGTGTAGCATGCATCCGAAAGGATTAGTTTGCATTTTCACCCCCAGCGTTGTCATGACAGCGTGGCCTAACTACAGTACTGTTTATGGAAAAGATTTCGCTCTCTATTCTGGGTGTAGGTGCAAAAAAATGTTTTTCGCACTATTCTGGGGAAAATGTGTACATCGTGCATACTTTTCAAAGAGCAACCTAGTGTAACAATGCTGTCCATTGGCCAAATCGGACAAACAAAAAGTCCACCGGCATTCAAACATAATCAGCTGTGCTCTCCGATCCGAGGTCGCAGAGCGGAGTTATGAGTCACGAAACGAGTTCTAATATTTGTTGCCTCCTAGTTGTTGCACTTTCTGACTGTATAATAAAATCTAGTTACAATGGTGGACAGTTACTCTCAACTCGTATCCATGCGCCTTTTTCCTTTCTACATTCAGCAGTGATAATGAAAGTGATAATGTGATGGCCAGTCGGAGTTGTTATATCAGTACTTACGGTGACATGACAGTTTCGGACTCATGTTTTTGTAGCCATCGCATGTAACGATAGGGTTGCCTAGCAAAAAATAACCACTTTGACATGAATATTTCGCCGCTTCAAGGTATTCTACGAAAGAAGCGTTTGAAGTAGCAAATGATACTACTGGTGGTGTGCAGACGAACTCTGGACAGGAGGTTGAGAGACAAAGAAAGAAGAGGACAGATTTGATTTAAAACTGCGAGGACCCAAGAAAACCACTGTGGATAGGAATAAAATCTTACGTCCTTCTCATGTGACAATCATCGTAAATCGTCATCACAAGGAGAGCTGGACTACAAAGGAAATGTTATAATTAGGGCATGGTGAAATCAAAGCAATAAATAGAGCAAGTTATGCATTCCATACACTCACCATTCACGCAGGTTAGGCATCCTTCAACGTTTTCATTGCCATTTCTTCAAAAGAATACTTGACTTGTGTGGATGGTGTGGGTATTGAATGAGCAACTGCTTTATTTATTGGGTTGATTTCATTTCTGTCTCCGCAAAAACAGTATAGTACCGCGGGGCCAGGGTACCACCCCTACTCCGGGTACCACCCCTCCCCAGGGTACCACCCCACCCCCGGGTACCACCACTCCGCCAGGGTACCACCCCTCCCCAGGGTACCACCCCTCCCCAGGGTACCACCCCTCCCCAGGGTACCACCCCACCCCAGGGTACCACCCCTCGGCCATGGTACCACCCCTCCCCAGGTTACCCCCACCCCCGGGTACCACCACTCCGCCATGGTACCACCCCTCCCCAGGGTACCACACCTCTGCCAGGGTACCACCCCTCTGCCAGGGTACCGTCCCTCCCCAGGGTACCAATCCTCCCCGGGCACAAACCCTCCCGGGCACCACCCCTCCCCAGGGTACCAACCCTCCGCCAGGGGTACTACCCCTCTGCCAGGGTACCAGCCCTCCCCATGGTACCACTCCTCCCTCAGGGTACCATCCCTCCGCCAGGGTACCAACGACTATTGTTTTTGCAATTTCTCCAGTAACAGGGTTGAAAGAATATTGTCATGATACAATTTGAAAGTACTGAGAGGACCTCAAAGGATCAAAAGATCAATAGTAACATGACTTACTTATACAGCTAGGAACTGATGTTAGGTTTCCATTGCCCTGGCACGTTGGGTTCATATCACCATCGAGGACCAGACTGATTGGGCAGGAGTAGGTCACAGACTGTGTGACAGCCACTACACTTAGGTTAGCCTGCCCATTGGCAATAGCAGGTACATTGCATTTCACATCTGGGTGCAGAACGAGGAAAACGAACCGATTTTTTTGCAGACAGCCGAAAGACAAAGGGAAAATTCCAAAATCTAGTGCAAGGTGTAGTAATAGTAGTGCCCTTTCGTACCACGCGGTTGGATACGAAACGAATGCTGATTCGTCACCTGGGTTCGAGGATTCGTCAGAGTCTCTACGGAGAGCTCGTTTTCATGAATGGAAGCCTCTTCATTCGTGGCGCGCTCCGAATCCGTGAGGTACACATTTATTGATCCAGGTACACATGTTTTACCAGGTACACCTTTTTCCCTTGATTCCATGATCCATGCACGTGTGCGTGTAAACACCCGTACGGCCGTTTTCGGAGTAGCCATGCACATTTGCATGACGACTTGCGAGACCTGAATCTATTTTCAACGAAAAGATTACGAGCCGAATCAAATTTTCGTTTTGCATTCGATTCGTAGCAAATGCGAAATATCCCTAGTTGGCAGAGATTTCTCCTAATGCATGATTCCCCGGTTTGGCTGACGTGCGGAGCAGCTTGAACCACTATGAGACCCACCTTGTTTCGGCCACCAGTGCATACGACACGAGATGTTGATATAATGTTCAGCTGTCAGCCCACACCTCCTTGGTTCACTTCGCTAGATGACCACCCGCTATATTGGGCCGTGCGGACTTGTCATCTGGGTACATCCTAGCTGCGCTGATCCGTGAGGTTTAAAGCAAAAGCCCTGGTCAAATGAAAACTGCCAAAGTATCTAGACCATGAAACTAGAACACTCATTTTCCACTCCAACATCACAAGTGCTCATGCTCTACAAATAGAATAACACTTCTGTAGTGATGAAGTGTTTCAATAACAACAATGGAGGCCAGTCTCTCAAGACGGCCGATGCTCTTCGGAATTTTAGCCTCCACTCCAAATACTGTAATGTCTTGTGTAAAAACTAGTTTCGTATAAAAGCCTGTTTTGAATTGAAACCTGATGCTGAATGTTACATTGTCAGCACATAAGCTTGTTTTTAGTATTTACATACATAGAGACATGTCCTTCGAATTGAAGCCTTACTTGAATAGAAGCCTAACACTGACATTGGCGTTTATACCGCCCCTGAAATGTATTTTACACAGATCAATGGCTAACTTACGTATCTCGCATATAGCGTACAGCTTGCTGTTCAGGTCATGTGCTGCATTGGCGGTGTCAAATGCCTTGCTATCTGCAGTTGCCAGCCCTCTCCATCCAATCTGTTGTTGCTTTGTGTACTGACTGGCACATCCTTTGCCAAACGACGAATCCGGTAGAATAGTTCCATTATACATCAAGCATAGTGCTTTTGCTGAACCATAACTGAGCTTATTGTAGGATATTATCGTTACTGAGGAATTGCAAACAGTATAGTCGGTTAGTGCTGAAGCTGCAGTCATGTACAAAGCAACAGACAAACATACACATTATAAACATACACATTATAACTGCTACCTACACTTAGGCATTAGTCGCTGGTTGAGTTTGGTTTTTGACATAAATCTATTCCTTGGCTATGTGCACTTTCCAAAATGGCCCAGCAGTGAGTAGCCTGGAAGGGTGGAAAGCTGTTATGATGGTGGAGAACTCCAAGGAACTGCAGTGGAACCTTGTGTTGCATGGCCAGTGTGGTTTCACGTCAATGCATACATTATAGTGTATGGAAATGAAAGGGTTTCACGGAGAATCTGCTCAAAAGTATAAATTTTTGGACCGGAAACCTTTTCATCTCGAGCGAAGAGTCTTCGATGCAGAATCATGAATGCATGGTCCATCGCAGCAAAATCCTGCAGGACACGCACAGTCCCAAACCATACGTGAGCCGGACAACTGGCATCAAATCCACTGGTGGCATTTACGCGCTCCTGTCTTCCACCCCTGATCATTCATACATCTTTGTCTCACCCCTTTCATCTCCCTGACCCATACAGTTCTAGCCTTTTGGTCTTGGTCCGTGTTTTTAGCCGTGACGCCGAGACCTCAGGTAGGCAGAGCCATCAATGCCCCATCCTCACTGCTGCGTCTCCATGCAGCCCCTGCTCAGTTGTTGCCATGTTTTTCCTCTTCTCAGTACATACCTTTGTTTCATTATTTTTGAATTGGGTATGTGAACATACTAAAAAAACACAAGCCGCCCGTGTAAAACGTGAAAGTGCGTCGCTCATCGCAGGAGCTCAACTTCCCGCGATGCAACCAACGAGGGAGTTCTGACAGCCTGGTGTTGTACACGCTGCTGAACCATGGCACACGCTGCTGAACCATGGCACACGCTACTGAACCATGGCACACGCTGCTGAACCATGGCACACGCTGCTGAACCATGGCACACGCTGCTGAACCATGGCACACGCTGCTGAACCATGGCACACGCTGCTGAACCATGGCACACGCTGCTGGACCATGGCACACGCTGCTGAACCATGGCACACGCTGCTGAACCATGGCACACGCTGCTGAACCATGGCACACGCTGCTGAACCATGGCACACGCTGCTGAACCATGGCACACGCTGCTGAACCATGGCACACGCTGCTGAACCATGGCACACGCTGCTGAACCATGGCACACGCTGCTGAACCATGGCACACGCTGCTGAACCATGGCACACGCTGCTGAACCATGGCACACGCTGCTGAACCATGGCACACGCTGCTGAGCCATGGCACACGCTGCTGAACCATGGCACACGCTGCTGAACCATGGCACACGCTGCTGGACCATGGCACACGCTGCTGAACCATGGCACACGCTGCTGAACCATGGCACACGCTGCTGAACCATGGCACACGCTGCTGAACCATGGCACACGCTGCTGAACCATGGCACACGCTGCTGAACCATGGCGCACGCTGCTGAACCATGGCACACGCTGCTGAACCATGGCACACGCTGCTGAACCATGGCACACGCTGCTGAACCATGGCACACGCTGCTGAACCATGGCACACGCTGCTGAACCATGGCACACGCTGCTGAACCATGGCACACGCTGCTGAACCATGGCACACCCTGCTGAACCATGGCACACGCTGCTGAACCATGGCACACGCTGCTGAACCATGGCACACGCTGCTGAACCATGGCACACGCTGCTGAACCATGGCACACGCTGCTGAACCATCGCACACGCTGCTGAACCATGGCACACGCTGGTGAACCATGGCACACGCTGCTGAACCATGGCACACGCTGCTGAACCATGGCACACGCTGCTGAACCATGGCACACGCTGCTGAACCATGGCACACGCTGCTGAACCATGGCACACGCTGCTGAACCATGGCACACGCTGCTGAACCATGGCACACACTGCTGAACCATGGCACACGCTGCTGAACCATGGCACACGCTGCTGAACCATGGCACACGCTGCTGAACCATGGCACACGCTGCTGAACCATGGCACACGCTGCTGAACCATGGCACACGCTGCTGAACCATGGCAAACGCTGCTGAACCATGGCACACACTGCTGAACCATGGCACATGCTGCTGAACCATGGCACATGCTGCTGAACCATGGCACACGCTGCTGAACCTTAACACACGCTCCTGAACCACGCACTTGACCCGTGATGCAATAACAACAGGAATGTGACATTTAGAAGGGGAAATGTCTCTGAAACCCAGCGGAGGATGCTAGAATTTGAATCAAGGCGTTATGAATATAATTAGCATGCACACACATCATACTCACAATGACACGAGGGAATTGGGCTATTGGTGCCATCGCCATTGCATGTAACTATTGAAGAGCCAAGCAGAAAGTATCCGCTGTTGCAAGAATACTGGGCAGCCTGGCCGTATTCCAAGAGTGAAGCATTACCCGTGCCATTTATAATTTCTGGTAAACTGCAGTTAAAGGCTGGAAATGAGGTCAAAAGAGAAAGAAAAAAAAACAGGACAATAGCACGGTTGACTTTTGCATTTGGAGGAGGACCTTGCATTATTTCCCTTCCTGTTGATAATGGTATACATATAATATTATTTAACTTTTCATAACATGGCAATGCTTGAACATATGGTGAAGCAACATACAAATAAAAGGATAGCAGAACATCCACAGTACGAAGCAGCTGCAAGTTGCCATCTTGGACACTAGAAAATGGCAACGAATTCCAGCCGGGCGACATACAGAAGAGAAACAGTACGAATTTGGGGAGAGAGAGAAAGAGAGAGAGAGAGAGAGAGAGAGAGAGAGAGAGAGAGAGAGAGAGAGAAAGAGAGAGAGAGAGAGAGAGAGAGAGAGAAAGGGAGAGAGAGAGAGGGGGGGGAGGGGAGGGAGATGGAGCTCTGTTGCAATTCACACTTACGTGCGCAGCGAGGTACCGAAGAAAGCGTTCCATTGCCGATGCAGCGTGGGGTGGCATCGCCGATAACCTTCAGACCGGGAATACATGAGTAGGTCACAGTGAATGAAACAACTATCACTGCCTTGTCATTGGAGCCGTTTAGAATGTCAGGTACCTGACATTTCGTGTCTGTGCACAGAATGGAGAGAACAATTCATTGAAGGCCGATCAAGGAACCAGATGAAGTTCAAGTTTGGAGACCAAGCACTTATCGATTCTAACCCTTCTCTGTGCAGCAATGATTAGCTCTGAAACGAGTACAAAATGGTCCTATTGAAGCTCTCTAGGACACGAAAATATTTGCTCATCTGCCTCAATCCTGAAAAACTTCACCTAAATCTGACAGAAAAGGAGTTTTCAGCAGGACTCAAGAGTTGTACATATTGGCGCGGTGCTGTTTCCACCATTTAGATAACTAGTGAAGAGCTAGAATCATCTGGGAAGAAAATTCAGAGACAAACAGGCTAAAAACCTGCCGCGTGCTCTTTAAATACTTCTATGTATGCAACTCACCACTACAATAGGGGACTGAGGATAGATTTCCATGCTCTGTGCACATTGGAGTGGCATCTCCCACTATACCATAACCTCGCCGGCAGGAATATGTAACATGATCTGTGTATTGAATCTCAGACCCACTGACAGAGCCATTCACAATGGTAGGGATGGAGCAGTTAACAACTGCAACCGGAGTGAAGACAACAAAGATACGGCAAGCTAAAAGTCTCCTTCAAAATTCAAATAAACTGCCACCCGCCATAAGCTGTGAGCCTAGCCACACCCGATTCAGTGCCGTCTCAAGAGCTGTATGCTTCGTAATTTGTAAAATTTCCCCCCATCTATTCATTTGTGGCAATCAGCACACAACATGACAACTTGCTAGAGGTTAACAATGTGCACGAATTTCCAAAATCGATTTTCAAGTTCCAATCATCAGTGAAAAAACGGAACTGAAGCCAAAAGGTGATCGCACCAAGATAACATATCGAAGAGAGTGATAGAGAAAATGCCTACGTGCTGATACATGCCACAAACAAGTACAAAATGGTCCTATTGAAGTTCTCTAGGACACGAAAATATTTGCTCATCTGCCTCAATCGTGAAAACCTCACCTAAATCTGACAGAAAAGGGGTTTTCAGCAGGACTCAAGAGTTGTACATATTGGCGCAGTGCTGTTTCCACCATTCAGATAACTAGTCACGGAATAGCTAGAATCATTTGGGAAGAAAATTCAGAGACAAACAGGCTAAAAACCTGCCGCGTGCTCTTTAAAACTTCTATGTATGCAACTCACCACTACAATAGGGGACTGAGGATAGATTTCCATGCTCTGTGCACATTGGAGTGGCATCTCCCACTATACCATAACCTCGCTGGCAGGAATATGTAACACGATCTGTGTATTGAATCTCAGACCCATTGGCAAAGCCATTCACAATGGTAGGGATGGAGCAGTTAACAGCTGCAACCGGAGTGAAGACAACAGAGATACGGCAAGCTAAAAGTCTCTTTCAAAATTCAAATAAACTGCCACCCGCCAGAAACTGTGAGCCTAGCCACACCCGGTTCAGTGCCCTCTCAAGAGCTGTATGCTTGGTAATTTGTAAATTTTTCCCTCATCTATTCATTTGCGGCAATCAGCACACAACATGACAACTTGCTAGAGGTTAACAATGTGCACGAATTTCCAAAATCGATTTTCAAGTTCCAATCATCAGTGAAAAAACGGAACTGAAGCCAAAAGGTGATCGCACCAAGATTACGTTTCCAAGCGAGTGATAGAGATAATGCCTACGTGCTGATACATGCCACGTGGCGACTACCGGTTTGGCCCAGTTTTTACTTGATAACTTGAATAAACAGTACAATTCTGCCCGCACTGGCTGTTGCTAGAGGCTCGGATTGTGGTCTGACCCGCCTGAGAAGCAGTATTGTGGGGGAACTGAACGGATTATTTGTGATCAAGGACACAGTATTTTACTCTCTCATTGCTTATTCATCCATGTGTTATGGTATTTTATTTTTTACTTTTCTCGGAGAAGGCGAACAGCCTGAACATGCCGGTTTTTAATGACTTGTCTACAGTTTTTTTCCCGTACAAGAGGTGGTTCCAGATAAGGAACAATGCAGATGGTGTGGAATCACGAAAAAATATCTTAAGTGCAACAACATGTTCCTCCTCCTTGCACAGATCAGGCTTATGGATACACATACAAACAGCTTCGAGCCTTCAGCTGGTGTACATAAGGGGCATATTCACATGTGAGGTATTTGTGAGAATACGTGCATGCCCTTGTGTGTATGTATACAAACTAGGTCGGTACGCACATGAAGCATATGAGTAAGTGAATACATGCATGCATGCACGCACACACACACACACACACACACCCCACACACACACACATTCATACACCCCCCCCCCCCCATCTCACACACACACACCACACACACATACACCCCCCCCCCCCACCTTGCACACACACACCCATGGATTTAATAAGATGTTCAATGGTGATGGCGTATTGCATTTATCTCGGCGCATATCCATTGCCACGCTGCCCCTTGGAATGACACAAACGTCAAACATTCTGATTACATCAAATGTCATTTGCAGCATAAATATCTGAGCTTGAATCCAACTTACGTATTTCGCATATGACATAGCGACCAGCAGCTTGGTCAACCTTTTTACCAGCAGTATCTGACAACTCGCCTGTTGCATCCGGTGAGCCTACCCAGGCAATTACATCTCTACTGGTCAAGCCCCAAGCACATCCAGCTTGGAACGAGGACTCAGAGAGAATGGATCCATTATAGAATCGGCATATCTCTAGGCTTACTGAGTAGTTGGTTATGAGGCTTAGAATGCTGATGCTTGTTCTTCCTTTGGCCGCCGCGCAAGCTTTGCTGTTGCCCAGCTCTGTAGCCAAAACACACAGAAAGCAAAAAAGAAAGATATGGCAAGGAATATTATTTTTTTTTCAAATTTTTTCAAACCTTTTAAAAGTATTCTTGCTCGATCAAAGAGTTAACAACGAAACGTCTGGAGAAGTATCGTAAATATCTCTATCTTTATTTAGTTATCAAATATACCACTCTTTGGACTAGAAAGAATACTTTTTTGATATTATTTGCACAGATGGTCCACTCCAGGTTATACAGTATAGTGCAGGATACAGTGTGGAAACCGGTAGTGCAACACAACGTGGGTAACATTGAACAGTTAGTTTGCCATCTTCCAATGAGTGGACTACGGCAAGTGTGTATCCCCCGACGACACTCTGTACCCGGAGAGCACTATATAATAAGTGGTGCTCTTTGGGCAGAGTCCTCCTCAGTCTACTCAAGCTCAACTGACGATGGGTGAATTTCCTGATAACTGTGTTTTGAGCAGGGAGTGGTGCTTTCTTGCAGGTTTGCGTTCGATGGACATATCGTGTGCTGTTGATTTCTCGAGTGCTCTGGATGGCAATTTTGAGTCAGTCAAGCAAGATCGTGCAAGCAGTCAATCCGGTTACTGCAGCGCGAGGGTTCCAAGCACTGATCAACTATATACCTATTGTGGTGTTAACTTGGTCAAGATCCGATAGAGTGATGCATACGTCCACACTCCCTAGTCTTTTTGCATTGCAAATATGTTTCTATCAGTTGAAATATAACTATAAAATCAACCACGTGTTCCTGACTCCATGTAACTGTCTTTCTATTCTTTGACTCCATGAAAATTGTCTTCATTTAATTTTTCCTTTTCTTCTTTTGGTCCTTTCTGTCTTATATTATTATCATTTCTTGTTTCCCTTGCATACCATCCCTTCATCATTCTGTGAGAATCTGTTCTATGGGCAGGTGAGAAGACATCTCTGCCTGTTCATTTGGTGAAGTAAAATAAGGAAGAAGAAGAAGAACAACAACAACAAATAACGCACATGACGACCTAGGTAAAAACAAAGCATGTGTGAGGGCTCCTGGGCATTCAAGCCCTGTTGCTATAGGTAGGTCAAGGTCGTCACAGCCGGGGCGGCTGGGGCTAGGCCTTGACAGATTATGCTAGTATTTTCGTGAAATTATGCTTTTCGCATTGCTGAAAAAACTGCAGAATTATGCTATTGGTTGAACATATGGTGGTAAAGACACACCTGGCAATATGGCAGTAAACACACGCCTGCCCACACACGCTCTCTAGGCTGCAAAGTTCTGGCACAGAGCTCTCCTTCTCACCACCACAACCATCAGTTCGTGCCTGGCGCCTGGTCGATGCATGGCTGGCGGTATCCGGCATAGCAGGCTGGTACATCAAGTAGCGCATGGCACATAGATGATGACACAGCAACGACATAGCTCGATTGCGACGTACGTTTCGTCCCCGCTGGACTCATCAGGCAATCTTCTTCTTAGATGTCTTCATACGGAGCTTGACTCGCGAGAATGAAGTTGAAGACACCACTGCAGCTGCACTTATGGTTGATAATATGGCTATTTTTATGCTAAAAGTTATCATAATTATGCCGCATTATGCTCACATATGCTGCTAATGTATATGAGGGTTCTGTGCAAAATAACAGGTGAATTTTTTTCTAGAGGGCGTTGTACTGTACCGTAGTAGCAAACGTTCAACGGGGTCAACGCACCGTCCGACCTACATGTAGCTACGACCGTCACCCTGGTCACTGATTGTAGTGGACTGGAACTGTTTTGTGATCAAGGGAGTCGTAAACCTACGCCTTCCTGGTGCATCTACTAAGTAACTTTTACTTGTACAAAATTACAACTGTATGGAATTTGATGCCAACAGGCGGATTATTCTAATTTTATGCGATTCATATGCAATTTGCCTCCAATTATGCGATTATTCGATTTTGGTAGGAATTATGCGAAAAATTATGCTAGCATAATCTGTCAAGGCCTAGCTGGGGCGGCTGAGGCCGCCCCACTTTTTCGGCCGTTTTTTTTTTTTGGAGCACATTACAACGAAGCACAGTGATCGCACCTTAGCGCAAACGTGACAAATCCTTGTCCCCGATCGTGGCTTGTTGCAGAAAAAGTCTTTCATTGCAGTTAAACTGAAATGGCACCAAATGCCTGGAAATACTTGCAATTGGCTTCAATTTTTGAATTTTTTCCCGGGGGAGGGTAATGTTTGTCCCCGATCGTAGCGTCTTCTTCGTTTGTTGCAAAATCAAAAAGACTTTCATTGTAGTTACCGTACACTGAAATGGCACCAAACACGCGGAAATGCTTGCAATTGGCTTCAATTTTTGAATTTTATTCCCGGGGGAGGACCCCCGACCTCCCTTCCATGGCCGCCCCACCTCCAAAGTCGGTGCGACGGGTCTGTAGGTTACTGGTCAATCTGAAAGTGCAAGGATCAGCAGAACACTGTCTGAAATGATACTGGTATACCTTTTCATATCTGAAAACCTCTCTTCTTTTTTCAAATATTTGTAATCCTTTTTTTAATTTATACAAAGAGAAAGACCAAGGAACTACAAGTTACGCTATACTGTCCACTAACACCACCAGTTACTAAACAATCAGCTCATGCTATAACATTGCACGACATTGACCGGCGGTACTGATGTTCTACAACTAACTGGCTAACTGCTCTGTTTTTCATGATTCTTGTTCGCATAGCTTCCCCTTTTATTGATCTTTGCATATTTTGAGCCACACAAGTTGTGTGGAATGTGGCTTTGCGTTCCTTAATCGTGGTTTGACCGTATTGTCCAATGGTCTTGCCAGTATCGTCATCGACATGCATGAACATCCGCCAACGTCCTTCACAGCTGAGACTTTCAGCTCATGTTTATCTTGGTTACGCTCACCTTCCCCTCCTTATGTTATTTCTATAACTTAGAACCTTCCAAGTTGGAAGGCTGTTGGAGTGCGCATCCAAGATGTGCTAGAGCTGTTACCCAGTTAGTTGTAGAACGTCAGTACCGTCGGTCAGTGTCATGCAATGTTATCGCATGAGCTGATTGTTTAGTAACTGGTGGTGTTAGTGGACAGTATAGCATAACTTGTAGTTCCTTGGTCTTTCTCTTTGTATAAATTATAACCTTGGCTCTCCATCTGAGTCCAATCCTTTTTTTAAATTTAAATTGTTGCCTCTGCACGCTAGTCTTAAAGTTACACCTGTAGAAATTGCTCACCATCATATCGGCAACTGATATTGCTAGGCATCGCGGTAGATTGCATTTGATCGTATCGCTTTGGTAAGCAAGCTGGAAAACAGGAAAACACATTGAAATCATGAAATCAATGTGACCTTACACAGTATGGCATTATCTGTAGTAACCTTTTTTTTAATTCTTTTTTATGAAAGTGCACATGCCTACATGGAATCAAAGAGAACAACAACAGCAGCAAGAGAACATAGGAAATCTTTGGCCGGTGCATGTTTCTATTCGGTTTCTACATGTTATTAAGGTAGCAGCCTACCCAAACATTCGCTGAAAAATCGAATTTGTAAATTCATATCGAGTGCTACATCAGTTGAAAGAGCATGAATAGCTGCAAAATCTCTGAAAAATGTGTCTCCATCTGACCAGCCATTCCAGAGTTATGGCCGAAAATGTGCCCTTGCGAGGAAAGATTTTTTTGTTGCACGCTGTCCTTTTTGGCAGCACTGTATTTGAATCTGAGCAGACCGTGCGCAGCTTGCCGTATCATGGAAAAACGCGCAAGTATGCAGAATGTTGCTCCAAGTCCAAAAAATCCTATGTGTTGGGCTGCAGGACTTTTGCCAGCACCCTCGTGACGTTGCAGATATGTGGCTTGATTATTGTAGTTGACGTTGATTTAGTGACTTTGGCAAGTTTGAGTCATGTCAAGAAGTCAGGTAGGATTCAGTACTAGGCAGTTGTGGAACGTTAGCGGTAGTCTCTGCCAATTTTTGAGGGTATCCATGATTGGGTGTGCAGCGCTGTGGTAATGGCTTGCTGTGAAGGTCCCAGCACTGGATGTTGTATCAAAGGTACGACCTCGTAGCACACCCTTAACCTAAAAAAATTCAAAAATTGACTTCGGTCTGCGGGAGTCTGTGAGAGAACGCCCACTCGTGCCGTTGTGACAGATTCCAGGGCCACGTTGAGGGATCCTATCCCACCACCCATGGCTGCTTCTGGACCTTTTTTAGGTTTGGATTCCGCGCACGGACAGAATGGGCAAGAAAATGTGAGGAACATTGTAAAATGTTCGGTTAACGTAAGAGTTAACCGTTGTTAACAGCCACGTACCATTGCTTCGCTGTTGGCCTTTATAACGGGTTGCATAACCCTCCTTACGTGTGTGCACGATCTTGCCTTCTCTACATACTGCTGTGTATCATAGACATCACATGCCCACGCTCTGCGCATTCGCAGATTTCCTGTGCGCACAACAGCGCTTGCTGTCTTTCCAGTTTCCTTGCCTGCAGTCAGCTTTCAAATTCTGCCTCCATCCTGGTTCAGAGTGTCAGTCCTAGTTCTGCCGATTCGCTGCCGTCTTGCCGTCTCTAGTATTCGCTTTCCTTGTTCTCTCTCAGCTCAGTCCCGTCAGACTACGTGTCTTCAGCGGCCAGAGATTATTTGAGTATTATATTCTCACGATGGCTTGTTTCTCGACCAGACAAAATACGCCATCGGCCAGAGAGGCAGCTCAACCTTCGGATACAGGACGTAATGTGCGTGTGCGGCGAAATCCTGTTCGTCTTCAACCACCCAGAACTCCAACATCTCCCCACTCGGATTCTGTTGTCTCCGACGTTGCGCCGTCAGTTTCTTCTGCCGCCGCCTTGAATGTGGCCCCTGATCCCGGGGCTGCAACTCAAACTTCAGCTACAGGCAATAATGTGCATGCGAGGCCAACTCCTGTTCGTCGTCAACCAACCTGGACTCCATTATCTTCCTCCACGGCCTCTGTTGTCTCCGATGTTGCGCCGTCAGTTTCTTCTGACGCCGACTTGAGTGTGGCCCCGGATGTACTTGCTTCGGCTGCTTCTCAGGCCGTCGGCCAGGTCCCCCAGCCCCTGATGGAGCGAGTAGAGCAGTTGGAATCTGCTGCAGCCGTCGTGCCACCTGTCATCTCCAGCTCCGTTCATGGATTGGGCCATCCGCCGGCTGCTCTCTGTACCTGATAAACTCCGCAGGCGAATTGAACGCGGCGAGTTTATTGATTTCGACGACCTCCCGGACCAGCTGGGTGTGGAGCCCAATGTGGTCCAGCTAGCTGTGGGGGCCAATCGCTCTGTCCAACTTGTACAGAAGCCAACTCAGGCCCAGCGCCGCCATGTGCATGATGTAGCGTCATGGCTCGAGGCGCTTACTGTCTACACGAGAGTAATTGTCGCGGCGGCTCCAGATAGGGCAAATGATTTGCTGGCATATCAGGCCACTATTCTGGATGCGAATAACTCGTATCACGTGGTCGCATGGCTAAGTTAGCCTCCCAACCACTGTCCTACGACTGGGCTATCATTGTCTAATTTGTGGCAGTCGTCATTCACCAGGCGTGGTCGCCCGCCAAGTTCCCGCCGTTCTCTGGTGCCCCCATAGGCCCAGGCCCGGTGTCCCTTTAGACCTGGACCTCCATCCGACGGCGCTGTGAGTGGAGGTCCGCCGCAGTCCAGCGCGCCAACCGATCTTGGGAAGCCTATCTGCCGCAACTTCAATAGGGACCAGTGCAACAACTCATTCTGCTATCGCTGGAAGCACCCAGAAGTCAAATGTGGCAGGGGACAGTCCGCCGCCTCAGCGTCTGCTCCGTAAACATTCTGTGGAGACCCCCATCAATGTTAGCCGATTAGCCGGGCTTAACCCTCATTCTGATCACTCCTTCTCTCACTTTGTGTTGCATGTGTTGTGTCACGGTTTCACGATAGGCCATTCTGCTGCTATATCTGGTGTTCATAGTTCTCCCAATCACCTTTCGGCCATCCGTAATATGCAGTATGTTTCTTCCAATTTGACCGCGCAAGGGTTGCGTTCTCAAACGCGAACTCGCCTCACTTCTGGGCCACCTCTCGTTCGCTTCCAGAGCAATTCCGGCCGCCTGTACATTCTTACGCCGCCTGTATGACCTCGACAAGGCCACATCTGAGATGTCATCCCACCGAATGCTGCACCTCTCAGCCTCAGCCAAGCGCGACCTGAGCTGGTGCCACCAGACTCTGTCAACATGGAACGGAAAGTCATTTTCCTGCTGGAGAAGTGGATGCCCAGCACTGACCTCCAGTTGCAAACCGATGCAAGTGGCACCATTGGATTTGGAGCCTTCTTCAATGGTCGCTGGTTCAGAGGTGACTGGTCCCCACAGCAACTGGAACTTAGCATTACCTACAAGGAGCTCTTCGCCATTGTCGTGGCCTGCGCCACATGGGGGATCGAGTGGCTGCGGCTGCGTGTGGAGTTTCAGTGCGACAACCAAGCTGTCCTGGAGTGCCTGAAGACGGGCACAAGCCGGTCTCCTGCAGTCATGGCACTCATCTGCACCCTGTACTCAATCTGTGTGAAGCACATTTTCCTGATCCGAGCATCGCACCTGCCAGGAATTTCCAATACCATCGCTGATGCCCTGTCCTGGAACAAGATGGATGCCTTTCAAGACCTTTGCTCCTACAGCTGCGGAGCGCCCTCACACCGTGGTCCAGCCGATCACTGAGTAAGTGCAAAAACATTCACTTAGGATGCAGATAGCGTTCTCTGTCGATCCTACTCCACAATATCAGTCTGTCTTTATGACTCTAGAACAACGCTCTTGTGCAATACATACTCACCATCTATATTGGTTGTTATCACCCGCTAACTCCTCTGGCAATAATGGGAATGTCGGCATGGACACTAGTCCGTAACTGGCCTCTCGCGCACTACTATTAAACTCGCATGGGTCACAAACCGCTCCTGCTCAACGCAGGCCGACCCACCAACTCGTATGGGTCCCAAACCGCTCCTGCTCAGCGCAGGCCGGCCCACCAACTTGTATGGGTCACAAACCGCTCCTGCTCAACGCAGGCCGACCCACCAACTCGTATGGGTCACAAACGGCTCCTGCTCAACGCAGGCCGACCCACCAACTCGTATGGGTCACAAACCGCTCCTGCTCAGCGCAGGCCGACCCACCAACTCGTATGGGTCACAAACCGCTCCTGCTCAGCGCAGGCCGACCCACCAACTCGTATGGGTCACAAACCGCTCCTGCTCAGCGCAGGCCGACCCACCAACTCGTATGGGTCACAAACCGCTCCTGCTCAGCGCAGGCCGACCCACCAACTCGTATGGGTCACAAACCGCTCCTGCTCAGCGCAGGCCGACCCACCAACTCGTATGGGTCACAAACGGCTCCTGCTCAACGCAGGCCGACCCACCAACTCGTATGGGTCACAAACCGCTCCTGCTCAGCGCAGGCCGACCCACCAACTCGTATGGGTCACAAACCGCTCCTGCTCAGCGCAGGCCGACCCACCAACTCGTATGGGTCACAAACCGCTCCTGCTCAGCGCAGGCCGACCCACCAACTCGTATGGGTCACAAACCGCTCCTGCTCAGCGCAGGCCGACCCACCAACTCGTATGGGTCACAAACGGCTCCTGCTCAACGCAGGCCGACCCACCAACTCGTATGGGTCACAAACCGCTCCTGCTCAGCGCAGGCCGACCCACCAACTCGTATGGGTCACAAACCGCTCCTGCTCAGCGCAGGCCGACCCACCAACTCGTATGGGTCACAAACCGCTCCTGCTCAGCGCAGGCCGACCCACCAACTCGTATGGGTCACAAACCGCTCCTGCTCAGCGCAGGCCGACCCACTTGGTCATATACAGTATTGTGGTTGGCATTCATCCCGCACACTACTCATACACAGTTACACTGATACACACGGATCGGAGAGTTTAAAAATACATTGCATTGAAAGGGAACATGGAAGTAAAGGTAAAACCAGAGAGGAAAGACATGCAGCACAGGAAGCCAAGATGGATCCAAGGAGAAGCACATTACACACATGCGCACACTCTAGATACAGAGAGTGCTGCATAGCAACAGTAACTACGCGCATGGCAACAGTAACTACGCGCAATGCAACACTAACTACGCGCATGGCAACAGTAACTACGCGCATGGCAACAGTACCTACGCGCATGGCAACAGTAACTACGCGCATGGCAACAGTAACTACGCGCATGGCAACAGTAACTACGCGCATGGTAACAGTAGCTAAGATAATCTGATAATGACGTCACACATAGCATGCATGTAATCTAGGACTGTGACGTTGCACATAACATGCATACCCTTCATAACATACAGCTTCTCCCTCGGTAGGCTGACCACACGATTCGTCAACGCGAACTCAATTGAGGCCAGCTACTCTGCCCGACATTCCCATTCTTCCAAACTCACTCTTTTGTCTTTTGGTGTGTCGCGTCCTGCACGCGTGTGTGTCTACTCTATAGTCTAGCATGGGGAGTAGAATGTTAAGTTCGGTTAACGTAAGAGTTAACCGTTGTTAACAGTCACGCACCATTGCTTCGCTGTTGGTCTTTATAACGGGTTGCATAACCCTCCTTACGCGTGTGCACGATCTTGCTCTCTCTACATACTGCTGTGTATCATAGACATCACATGCCCACGCTCTGCGCATTCGCAGATTTCCTGTGCGCACAACAGAGCTTGCTGTCTTTTCAGTTTCCTTGCCTGCAGCCAGCTGTCAAATTCTGACCCACCCTCCTCATCCCATTTCTTACTCTTACACTTCACTCCACATGTTTTGAAACACACGGATGCGGGCACTCCGTAACTGGCCTCTCGCGCACTATTATTAAACTTGCATGGGTCATAAACCGCTCCTGCTCAACGCAGGCCGACCCACCAACTCGCATGGGTCACAAACCGCTCCTGCTAAGCGCAGGCCGACCCACTTGGTCATATACAGCTCCTGTCCTCGGTAGGCCGACCACACGATTCGGTAACGCGCACTCAATTGAGGCCAGCTACTCTGCCCGACATTCCCATTCTTCCAAACTCACTCTCTTGTCTTTTGGTGTGTCACGTCCTGCACGCGTGTGTGTCTACTCTATACTCTAGCATGGGGAAGAGAATGTTTATGCTTTTTTTGGCTATTGAGTCGCTCACACACCGTGACACTTTGCCAAATTTTGAGTTTTTCCGGCCTGGAAAGCCTGTCAGGCTGTGTTTACATGAGGCGTTTCAACCCGGGTCAGATTTCAACCCGCCATGTACACAAAATGAATGGCGCGTTTGCATGATGCATTGCGCTTGACCCGGGTAGGAATTTCGCCCCGGGTTGATTTCAACCCTCCCCCTTGGGGGGAGGGTTGAAATCAACCCGGGTCAAGAAAATCGTACAAACGTACTTCTGTGCGTATCTCGCGCCAGGTTTGAACAGCACTACATATGCAAATTTCGTGCAAACGGATTCACGTGACCATACTGGACTCTAGAAGTGGACTTTAGGCGGCATATCAGTATTTGACCCGGGTCAACTGTCTTCATGTAAACGCTCACCTATTTTGTCTATCGTACAGACTTTCAACCCGGGCTGAACTCGACCCGGGTTGAAATTTCTCATGTAAATACAGCCTCAGTGAAGCGCAGGAACTTTTAAATCATGTCCAGAGGCCCAGCATAGTGGCAGGAGTGTGTGGTAAAAATTTCAATCAAACCCATAGAGACACCAAAGTTACGGTCAATTGAATGCCATATGAAATTTATGGGTAGGCTGCTACCTTAACATACTAACGGTGCTTGTACCCATCAGCAACACACCCAGCTTGTACGTATCCGCAACACACCCAGCTTGTACGTATCAGCAACACACCCAGTAGTAATCCTGATGCTCTGATACACGCCGAGGCTAGCTGCATGCCCAGTCTCTTCTTCTTTTTTTCTTTTTTTCCTTTCTCTTTTCTTTAAAATGTTTTACTGCCAGAAGTCGTCTTCATATAAGGAGGCAGACATGCCTGTTTGTGGTACGACTTTAAATAAATCCAACCAACCAACCAACACACCAAGCTTGTACATATCAGCAACCCACTCAGCTTGTACGTATCAGCAACGCACCCAGCTTGTACGTATCAGCAACACACCCAGCTTGTACGTATCAGCAACGCACCCAGCTTGTACGTATCAGCAACGCACCCAGCTTGTACGCATCAGCAACGCACCCAGCTTGTACGTATCAGCAACGCACCCAGCTTGTACGTATCAGCAACACACCCAGCTTGTACGTATCAGCAATACACTCAGCTAGTTTGTGCGATTTTTACGCAGCGAGACCTCAACAAATGGCGCAAGGCATTTTTTTAAGCGAGCACAACTTTGCTTACCCTGCTGTGTCTGGTTGGACAACAGGTTTTGCTTCAGCAGTATTTCTTTTGGGTAGTTCTTTGTAGTTTTGCTTCCAAACAGATTGTCTTCGAAACCTCCGGATTTTCCTTCTAGATGGCTAAAGTGGCTGTCTTGACGATGACTTGCCACATGCTCAGCCCGCAGTAGGCTCCCCAAGCGCTGTGTGAATCCCCCTACCAACAAGGTTATGAGTTTTGCTAGAACTCTTGTTGTTACACACTGCACCTGGTAGTATGTCCTGCCCCAGCGTCTAATAGGGAATATCTGAGAAAACAGGAATATCTGGGCTGGGCCGTCTCTCAGATTTTGTTCAAATTTTTGCAAAAGGATTCGTTGCACAACTTACAGACACCTTGGAACCGGGTAGCGCTTTGAAATGGGCCCGAAATACGACTGAATACCGGGACCATAAACGAGCGCTGATACAGCTTACAGAAATCAACTAAGAACGAACCACCATTACGCCAACAGTACTTCACGTGAGTACTCTTCGCATCACCACCACATCCTCGCCATGGCTAAATCAAGGAAAGCAATGGCCATCATCTCCAAATATCACTAAATTGCATTGCTAAAATAGCCAAGTTTAAAGGGCCATAGCGGAACCATTTACGCCGTCTAATTTTCTGAACCATGCACTGCAGGACAGTGGACTATCATCCAGGACATGTTGCGTAAAAGTGTTCCACGTTCTGGAAATATATAGATTTGAAGATTTTCAAAAGTAGAAAGGATAAGGACATATGGAAACGAGTTAAGTCGATACCCGAGTTTCAAATTGAATATTTTCACTTCACCATTATTGCTACATGGCAAATTTAGTACCCGGAGATGGAAAGCGCCTCTTCGAGCTCCAACACCAGGCACCACTTCAGACGCCAGTACGCCAAATACTGCAGCGCAGTCACCTCCATCGAGTTTGACGAGAAATTTGCAATGACAACCCTTGTCACTCCAAAGTATTTTCTACCCCGAGCGACTCGAATTTCACTAGCAGCAAAGCTCTGCAGAAGTGCAAAATAATATTGAACAAATCTCGATTTGTGAGATCGAACCAAGGCATTTTTGCGTCCTGAAACTAGCCCTGCCCCGGCCACCGGGTAACATAGCAAATTGACGGATTTGATCGAGTTGACCTGAAGATGACTCGTTACTCTCGCGCCAGAGAATCGTTAATATTATTGCGGTGACTAACGTAAAAAATTGTGGTACTCTCTCATCACTTACGTATTTCGCATGTAGCGTACATCGTCGTCGATAAAGGATATTCATGAAAACTTATGGCTGAGGCCTTAGTGCTGGCCGGCAAGCCCATCCAGGCATAGAGGGGAAGCTTCAAGTGGCGATCGGCGCACCCATCAAGAACCGACTGTGTGGAAATAATCATTCCCGCATACAGTCTGCAGAGCTGGCTTGCAGAACTGTAGTTCAGCCAGTTGTATGATGACACAATTATACTATTAGTTGGCTTGCAATAACGGTATTCGGTCGGTGGTGAAGCTGCAGTCATCGACAAAACACAGCAAGCAAGCAGAGAGACTGTCACAAATGCAAGCAAAACACTCACAAACCCATTCATTCACACAGTGACACCCACTAACACCAGGTAGCCTGACTCGATTGGAGATGAGCACCTGACGTTCAAGAAATAGTATAGTAAATCCTGCCTGCAAACATGGCAATGCCGGGGATCCGAATATAATAGGCCAAGTGTGCACCATCAATATAGTGGATGGCTACACACAGCAAAAGTACGACCGGGTACAAGGGGTGGGGGGGGGGGGGTGGAATCAACACATTAAAATGTAATTGGGAATATACTATTATGAGAGTCAGAATACAAAGCACAGAAGTTATCTAATTTTTTCGACTAGGCCTTTCATTCCATTACTCTTCAGGTCGAATACAATGGTGAATAACAAGGTAGCAAGCAAGTCCTTATAACCGGCACTTTTGGCGGTCAGAGCATTGACAAAAATAGCACTTGAAAAATAGCGCTAGCGGCACCAACAGCATACTTCTTTTGCACGCACAGTTCAGGCTTCAGCTTGGCAATGTACACTGCCTCCAGAACAGCAAGGTGAGATTTGTTGCGCGCACGCGCTTGAATCATGAAGTGAGAATGGGTGCAATGCTTGCAGACTGCACTTAGGCAGGCTGCTGACGATGTCAGGTGACGGGGTATTGCTGAGTCCTTCTCATTATCGTCATTGTCCGTTGGTCTATTCCTGTGGTAGCTATTGTGCATCGCAGTTGTGCCACTGGCGACTTCTCTGCAGGGCGAGGAGTCACACACTGTTCCACATGCCGATCCTGTATCAGCCGCTTGGTGCACAGCGTATCCTTTAAAGTGCTATTTGGTTTTGCTCTGACCGCCAAATATGCTGTTGGCGCCACTAGCGCTATTTTTCAAGTGCTATTTTGTCAATGCTCTGACCGCCAAAAGTGCCGATTATAAAGACTTGCTTACTACCTTGTTAATCACTATTGTATTCGACCTGAAGAGTAATGGAATGAAAGGCCTAGTCGAAAAATTGATATGGCTTCTGTGCTTCGTGTGCTGATTTGCTTTCATCCAACCAAAAATCTATTATGACAGTGACTACACACTGAAGTATGATAGCAGAGAGTTACTGCTGACCGGCCCTCAGCCTCCATTTGCCTGTGAAGCCCAAAAGGGGTTTACCACTGATGATTCTTGTTTCACAGTTTTGTGCCGTGCTCGTAGGTTTAGAGAACTTAAAGTGAGCCGCGCCAAGCTAAAAAGTGGCTTATCATATTGCCAACAAATCGACAAATTCACCAAAACGTCACAGCCGGCAAAAATCTACTCGAGCGCAGTCGCAAAATGTTCACTTTCGAGCACCGTTTCAAGTAAATAGGTTGCCAGTGGAGAAGAAGAAAGAGACCTCTTTATTTTTGAGCAACACTTTCAATGTTCCCTCTTTCATCGTTGTGGTGATTTCTCGGCGCTGCCAGAGATCGTCATGGAGCATTCTGGAGAATGCGGAGGTGAGGAGGATGGTACTCTCTCTCTCTCTCTCTCTCTGCGCGCCCAAACCTACTTAACGAGGAAGACTCGCTCATTCACAGTGGCCGTGTTTCTCATCGTGGCCACAGCGAGAGCGGCTAGTATCGCTATGGGGAGACGTATACAAGCCGTCCGACTATCATTCTGACAAGCTGCTTAGGCTCTTGCTGCGATGCTTGACTTTGTTTCGGCTACAATAAAATGTTCATGACGTGGCGTACGGTATTCCAAAATCTCCTCATTTCAAGACCAATAGTGCCACACGACGAAGCAATGCATTGACTCTACCTGCTAGCATATCGTCGAGTGGTTCCTTCTACCACTACCTACAACAGGGAAGGACAATGACATGGACTAGGACGGACAAAGAATCAGTGCCGCTTTTTAGCGATGTGCAGTCTGCTGGACCTACGTGCAAGGGACCAATGGAGCTCGATCTCTGGCACAACACTACGAGCTACATGAAAGGATTAATTTATGTTGGCGTAGGTGATTGGTGGAGAGAGTATGACGGACTGTCTTGGTAAGATGTGACCTTTCCCAGCCCGGCGAAAATATATTCACTCACAACAAGAAGGATATGAAAACGTTCTGTGATGAAATGACATGGGATACACAGATCAATTATATCTTCTTTCTTGGATCTTCTAATTAGAACGCAAATGCTCGTTCTCCACACCTGCTAAGCTTTGTCTCCATTTGGTGTCCCATGTTTTTTTTGGAGTTTGGGCAGGTCTTCAAATCCTTAGTGTCATTGATACCAGGCATGCTGTGACATGTTATTATTATTATTATTATTATTATTATTATTATTATTATTATTATTATTATTATTATTATTATTATTATTATTATTATTATTATTATTATTATTATTATTATTATTATTATTATTATGCACTTACGCGTCAATGTCAGCGGTGGTAAACCGCCCACAAATTCGCACGTGCTGGACTTGGGAATTGGGAAATGAAAAAATAAAAATAAAAAGAGCAACGACAACAGAAATAGAAATATAATACAAGACGTACCTGCTAAGGGGCACATGACAGCATTGCTCAGATTGAACAGAGGACGCAGACACAGGATAAAGGGCATTGTCGACTCCGTTTTGAGGATAATCCAGTAAAATGGTGGCAGGTGGATGCAGATCCACGCACTACGTTAAGAGAGGAATTTTGTTGGTATTTAAAAAAGATGTTAATTATTATTACCGCAGCAGTTATGAAAAGCAGTACTGTGATATTTCGGAGCAATATTATTTGGTTTTAGTCGTAGACGCCACTATTGGACTTGCAGACGTCCTTGCAAAGGTCCTTCCACTCCCCTCTGCCCTGTGCAATCTCCCGGAGGGAGAGGAGATCAGACAACGTCTTGTGTCCCCTCCGCCCCACTCTCTGCAGGTCACGGGATAGCACGATAGGCAGAGTCGTTCTTGGCCGTCCCCTCCACACTGTTTCCTTCACCTGGTAATAGTTAATCATAGCCGCCACAGCAGGACATCCGTCTGGCATGCGCAGTATATGGCCAAAGAGTCTCCATCTGGCTAGGCGAACAAAGTTAGATATCGGTTGTGCTTTGCACCTCTTGTAGAGAGCAGCATTGCTTATTGTTTGTGGCCACCTAATACTGATGAGACTACGCAACTGCCTGCGGTGAAACGAATCCAGTTGGGCCTCAGCCACTGAAGTGGGTGCCCAGGTGCCGCTGTTGTACAGTAAGACTGGCATCACGAATGCGTTGTACAGCCTCAGTCTCAATTCCTCACGCACTAATGTTCTCCGCTTCCAAAGACTGTACATTGCTCTGTAGGACGCTGTGGCGAGCTGTTTTCGCCTGGTGATGTCTTCGTCGTCACCAATCAGAGAACCTAACTTTTTCGTCATTCTCCATTCTTCCGAGACTCGATCCTGCTGCCGGGTGAGTTTTGTGTGTTCGGTCTTCTCTGCGTTGACATGGAGATTCCATTACCTGAGAACTGTTGCGGCAAGAGGTTCAAGCTGAGCTAGCCAAGCAGATGAGGTACTGACAAAATCGGTGTCGTCCGCGTAGATGATGTCGATTGGTAGAGTGCTATCTGCAGGACAGCGAGGTGGGGCTGTGGCGAGGACATCGCGCAGTGCTGCGTCTAGATAGACTACAAATAGTACAGGGGAAAGTGAGTCTCCCTGTGGAGTGCCAATTGTTGTGTGGAAAGGGGTAGACTCAAAACCTCCAAGTCGAAAATCGGTGTCGTCCGCGTAGATGATGTCGATTGGTAGAGTGCTATCTGCAGGACAGCGAGGTGGGGCTGTGGCGAGGACATCGCGCAGTGCTGCGTCTAGATAGACTACAAATAGTACAGGGGAAAGTGAGTCTCCCTGTGGAGTGCCAATTGTTGTGTGGAAAGGGGTAGACTCAAAACCTCCAAGTCGAACACTCAGCGTCGTGTTAGCGATGAGCAACCTTACCAAACGTAGGTCATCCGGAAGTAGGAAGGTCTCCAAAACGGCCAGAAGTCGGTGTCGCTGAATGGTGTCAAATGCTGTGACATGTGCGCAATGTATACTTATTTATGGCACATATACATTTCGGATGGGCACCAAAAGTTCCTTGATGGAAGTTGGATAGGTAGACATCACTTTGGCATGAAAAAGAAATTTCCAAAAATTATGCCTAAGCCACCTTTTAGCTTTGCTCGGCTCAAGTATTGGAAGCTGTTGTCATTCGCAAACTTAACCCCAACCTAGGCATCGAGAAAGAAAATGTAAATAGCCTATTCTCTTAGCATTCACACATGCACACACACACACACACACACACACACCTTCCTTCCTTCCTTCTTCCACTGCCATGACTGGCTATGTGGCCCCATACGGGGCAGACCAGGAGACGTGTTGTCCACCGGGCGGGGAACGCCATACTCAGCGCGCGCGGGCCGCGCGAACAGCGTTACACTTGTGCCTCGCAATATCCTGCGGCCGACGAAAACTGCGCGCACAAGTGCCACAGATGAGGGGCTTCGCCACAGCAGGGTTCGCACCAAGTCATGAAAATATTATTCAAGGGTTTTCAAGGGCCTCAAACCCCATTTTTTCAAGGACATTCAAGGACATTAGTTGGTGGGCTAACCGTTGGTTGGAACATCGCCGCCATTATCACTCAGAGAGAAGACATCGCGCTCAGAAGAAGAGGTGTTCACGCTGCGTCCAAGAGTGAACTATTGTGCTCTTTGACCCTCCATAGTTCCTCTGAGAGAGTGCCTGGGAGATAGGTAGCTTGGAAATGGCCGTAGAACGTGCTTTCCTGGACGCAATATTCAGCCATTTCTACCGTCTTCTTCAACTTGATTTATTTCGAAAAAAATGTTATTTTTCAGGGTTTCTGCACTGGACGCGTTTGGGATCGAAAATCTCACCTGCGCAAACAGGCTGCGCAGCTCACGCGCTGAGATACCTATCAGTACTACCAAGAGTGGATCCACTCTTGGTACTAGATCTACGGACGTCGGTACCAGTTACGGGTACCCAGCAGTGCGCGTAGACCTACTGCATGAACGTGAGTAGATCTACCGCATTCCAACCCAAAATCAAGGAAAAACACACTTTTTTCAAAAATTCAAGCACCCACACCAAAATTCAAGGATATTCAAGCACTTTTAATCCGGCTTTGACATTCAAGGACTTTCAAGGAATTCAAGGAGTGGTGCGGACCCTGCACAGGCTCCATGCGGGACTGGACAATAGCGTCGACAGCATCACGGCAGGTGACTCGCCATCCCTGTCGATCTTGGACGATGTCACCACGCTGCTCCAGAGGAACGCCAACAGCCATCAAGTCGCACTTCGCGGAGTCCTTCCAGCGCTTACGGGGTCCATGCGGTGGACGTTTGGAGGGTAATGCGCTGTACAGCAGCTGACGAGGGATCCGATCTGGCATGCGGGACACGTGGCCAAGCCATCGACGTCGGCGGACTCTGACTTTATCCGCGATCTCCTCCATATCGCCCCACATCCTGCGAACCTGGAGAGAGGAGATGTGCTCCTCGATCTGCCGGCCACGATTTATCTTCAGGATGGAACGCACGCACTGCAGGTGAAAGGACTCCAGGCGACGGACATCACGCTGCCTGACGGTCCAACTCTCAGATCCATAAAGAAGGACCGCCAGGACAGTCACTCCATACACGATGCGCTTGATGGCGATGCTGAAGTCATCACTGGCGAAAACCGACTCCCGCAGTGTACAGAACGCACCCGATGCAGCAGTAACTCGCCGAGACACATCAAATGAGCTCCGGGCGTCTGGCGTAACATGACAACCGAGATAGCGAAAGGCATTAACGTGGTCAACAACACCATCCAAAGGGGTCTGGTCGGCATCCACAATACCAGCCCCAGCCGCCATGAATTTGGTCTTGGACATATTTACACTAAGGCCAAACGCACCAGCTACATCCCTGAACGAGGATAGAGCCCTCTCAGCACCAGCATGCGTAACTGCGAGCAAGGCTGAATCATCCGCAAACTGACACTCCGTCAGCCGAACTCTGCGATACTCTGCCAATCTGGTGTTGAAAAGCCGTTACCTCCGAAACTGGACGAGTGGGATCCCCAGCTCACCATCATCAGCAATCACGCCACGCCATCTCTCGAAGACTGCACACATGTATAGGTTAAACAAAACCAGGGCCATAGTACAACCCTGCCGCAAGCCATTCTCAACCCGAATCGGTGCAAGCAGGTCTCCGCCCACACGAATACTGGCAGTCATGTCGCTATGGAAGGAACTGATGATGGTGATCAGATTCCCTGGGACGCCAAGTCTAGCCAACACTCTCCACATAGCACTCCGCGGAACCGAGTCGTACGCTTTCTTCAGATCGATTAATACAACTTTTCCAGGATCTGCCGCACAGCAAACACCATATCCGAACAACCACGGCCCCTGCGGAAACCACACTGCGAGTCAGGCAAGCACCTTTCTCCGAGAACCTGCAGACGATTGGCAATCATGCGAGCAACTAGCTTTCCAGCCACATCCAGTAACGATATCCCACGCCAGTTGTCGCAAGACCCCAGGTCACCCTTCTTGGGGATGGGGACGAGGATAGCATCAGACCAATCCTGTGGAACGCTGCCAGTCTCCCACACCACCCGTATCAGTTCATGCAACCTCGCAATCAGGGTAGGGCCACGGTACTTCAGCATCTCCACAGATATCTCGGATCCGCCGCATGCCTTGCCACACTTCATCCCTCGCAATGCACGCCAAATCTCATCACACTCAGGCACGACACCAAGCTCCGTCATAACCGGCCGCTGCGCGATCGAATCCACTACCTACAAGTCGTAAGCACTGGCAATGTTCAGGAGGCCATCGAAATGTTCACGCCACCTTCCACCGGTGGCCTCTGCCGTGTCACAGATCTCTCCTTGCTTGTTTCTGATAGCAGTTGCTGCACGGGGACGCATACCACCCAAGGTGGTCTTAATGTTACCGATACACTCCCAACCGCTCTTCGCCGTCAAGCCAAACCATTCACAATCCTTTGCCTGTCTCAGCAGCCAGTCTCGCCTCAGCCTCCGCATGGTGCACCGCGCCGCACTACGAGATTTCTTGTATAAATCCAGATCACTGGCCTTCCGCGTTGACATCCAGGTTGAGTAACAACTGTCCCGATCACGGAGTACCGACTCGATCTCAGTGCGCTTGTCTGTAAACCATTCTGGCTGTCGGCGCCTCTCCCGACCCAGGCAGTCGCTGGCAACGTTGATGGTGGTCGTCCTGAGGGTACTCCACCACTCCTCGATGGACGGATTCGGGGTCCAAACTTTCTCCAGCTCAGCATCCATGCCCTTGGAGAATCTCTCACGCGCAACCTCCATATCCCCCGGAGCACCACTACGCAGGCGCCACACAGCAATGGGTTTCGATCGCCCAACACCATTGCGGGAGACATGTGAACTGGGCAAGGCACCTAGACGATATTTCATGCCTAGAAACTGATGGTCAGTGTTGCATTCCGCATTACGTATTACTTGGCAGTCCAAACACTGCGACCGATGTGCTTGTGGTATGATGCAATAATCAATACAATGCGGGTGCTTGTTGCGTGGATGAAACCAGGTATGTTTATGGATTTCCTTCTTCTTGAATAATGTGTTGCATACAACAGCTCCATTTCGTGCCAAGAAATTGAGCAGCTCCTCTCCTGCTGAGTTCATACGACCAAAACCATGCTTCCCCCGCACGTCACTCCACTCATCATCCACCTCGCCAACTCCAACTCTAGCATTGAAGTCACCAAGAATGCAATACTGGTCTGACTTTGGAACGCTGTCAATGAAGGCCTGCAAGCTGTCATAAAACGCAGTTTTTTCAGCGCGCGGTCTGGCGAACGTCGGTGCATATCCGACAGCGATGTGAATACACAACCGCGAACGGTTCCGTCCACACTCGAACTTGACCCTGGCGGAAACCAATCTCGAGCTGTGCCCCTTCCACTGCGAGCCACCGCGAACAAATGCGTCCCTGCAACGACCGCGCAATACAATTGCAACTCCTTCACCCCGCCGCGCCGACTCCCCATCAGACGGAGTCGGACGGCCACTCGCCAAGACGAGACAGTCGCCGACTTGGTAGGAATTAGTTCCAAACCAGAGGGTCTCCTGAATTCCAACGACGTCCATACTGTAGCGCTGCAGCTGCCGGCAAACAAGATCGATTTTTCTCTCCTCGCGGAGTTGTCTTTTGAATTTTTGATATTTTTTGAGGCAGTGTTCAAATCGCCGCCCACGTTCACCAAAGTTCTGACGTTCCACGTCCCCATGGACAACACAAATCTCCTTGCTGCTGGTGCACGTTGCGAGCCGAACTCTAAGCGGGGGTTTGCAGAGCCTCCGCGCTCAGGCGGACGAGGTTCAGTACGAGTGGTCACATCGGAAGTGACCATGGTGTCGACACTGATTTATTTCCTCGCCCGCGACGACAAGATGTACGTCGTCTTGTTCAGCGCAACCTATCTAATGCTCCTGTCACCAGGGCTGGCTCTGGCCTTGGCCAGAAGCCAGCCCGTGGCTGAAATCTACTTGCAGAAGACGGAGGAAAAAAATCCCCAACCGTCACTCAACTCAACAACTCAGAAAACACACACACACACACACACACACACACACACACACACACGCATACACCCACCTACTGTGGCACATACCCATGCGCGTACTCCTTACACTTCACCCTCTCCGAGTCTCATTATTGTTATTATTTCTCACCTGCCCACCCCTGTTATTTGTCCACACTTCTCTTGTAAACCAGTGAAGAAACACGTGGGAACGAGTTATGCAGCAACTATCCACGGCTGTAACAAGATGATAAATGGTCAGAAATTGCGATAATCGGGCACAAAACTGACAGGTTACTGAGACATTTAGCGATCCGAGACCTAGCTCTAACGCATCTCCAGTGCTGAAACCAACAGCCTTCCAACTTGGAAGGTTCATGGTTATCGCACTTTCTGACCGTTTATCATCTTGTTACAGTCGTGGATATTGGCCGCATAACTCGTTCTCATGTGTTACTTCTCTAGTCTTTCGCAATTTACATTCTTTTCTCCTATTTTCTTTCACATACTGCATTTCGTACTCTTCCACGTATAAGTATATCATTTTTATTGCTAGATTTCAGTATTGAGACGTATTTTACCTCATGAATGTCTCTAGAAAACGTGTTCGGAAACTTTTTTATCCATCTTTTATTTTTGTTCATGACTAAGTCCAATGTACGCTTCGCTGATTCTGCTTATTGACTTATTAAAGTTGTTGTCTCCGCGCCGCTTATACATGAAACAAAGTTCGCATTCGACATAAGGCTGTTTCCTGAGTACTTACGATGGCATGACGGCATTTCACTGGTACTCAAGCGACCAAAGCCATGACAAGTAATCGAAGGATTGCCCAACAGGAAGTACCCGGTGTTGCATGAATACACGGCAGATTCATTAGCGTTCAATTCTGAGGCACTTGGCCTGCCATTCGGTATCCCAGGAACAAGGCAGTTGAAATCTGGAAATTAAAAAAAAGGAGCATAGTATTATATATTAACAAACACACAACAAGCCGACCTGTTTGGGAGCTATTACACGTTGTATTATCAGGACATAGGCAACAATTGCCGCATACAGTATGCAATACTATGGACCAATGCCGTAGTATCGCAAGCACCAATGTGCGTTAGTCTGGCCAATGCCAGGGCTAATGGGGGCAACAATTGCCCGGCGAGAATTCAGGCGTGTCAATACACGAGCATACGGTAGGGATGCACTTGTGAGCACATGTAGGCGCACTTGGCTCAATGCCGGCCTCACCCACGTTCCCTACCGTTCTCCCAAAAATACAACATGACCCAAACAGGAATTATCGGCATTACTATAGTTATAGTATAATACGTATATCATATGTACACTACAGCTGTTGCTAGGGCCGTCCAATGCGTCGGCAGTTGGGTTGAGGGTCCGGAAGCACCGTACCTGCAGACGGGAGAGTGAATCAGCAAGATCATTGCAGTGCCCGGTGATGTGGCGAAGCAGGAGGGCAATGTTATGCTGGGCGGCTTTCAATAAGCCGGCCCTGACCAAGTCCATGACCGCTCTATTTGGGGATGTGCCAGAGCGCCAGATGTAGCAGATTGCTTCATTTTCAGTGTAGAGTAGCACTCGTCTGTCCTCCAACATGTGTGCCCAGGTACAGAGGGCCAACATCACGGCGTACAATTCTTTCCATTCAATAGTGTGCTCAGCTTGGTCAGGAGACCATGCGCCATAGGACCACTTGCTGCCGAAAACCAGACCGAAACCGTGTCGACCTGAAGCGTCGGTGTACAGCCCGATGTCTTCGGCTGTGCTCCAGGACGGCTCGATGAGGGGCTTCCGACCATTCCATTGTCTGATGCAAGCATCCCACCACAGGATGTCAAGCTTTGCCTCCGAGGTTATGGCTACCGGTGCATCTAGGCTAGGGAGCGTTGCTGCGCTGTCGAACAGGCGTCTGCAGAACGTGCGTCCCGCTGGAATGACTTTGGCTGCGAAAGAGAGGCTACCGGCCAGAGACAGCAGTTCCCTCTTGGTGCACAGCTGCTTCGACAGTCACGTGGCCAGTGCTAGCCGTAGTTCCGCCAGTTTCGCACACGGGAGGCGCAGCTCCCAGGCGGCTGTGTCGAGCTCGATACCCAGGAACATTATTGAAGTTGACGGCGGGCACACTTTGTCCTCTCTGTCGGCCAAGGGGATGTTCAGCATGTCAAATACAGCCAGCAGTGTCTTGAATTCGAGCATAGCTGCGGAGTTGGGCGGCTGGACGTGAAAGAAATCATCTAGGTAATGCAGCAAATCAACAATATCGTAATAATTATTAACTGCAATCCATGCCACAGCGTCGGCAAGTCTGTTGAACAGAAACGGGGAGAATCTGAGGCCAAATGGTAGTACCTTATCGACATAGTACGAACCTTCCCAAAAAACGCCAAGTAGGGGCCATTCATCAGGGGAAACAGGGCAGAGCCGGAAGGCGTGCTTCATACTTCTTTGTCGACCGTGTCGTTGCCGCTGCTGGGCCGAAAGGAACGAGCGTCGTTGCTGCTGTTAGGCCGAAAGGAAGGAGCGTCATTGCTGCTGGTGGGCCGAAAGGGACAAAATGCCCCCGCGTCAAATATAGTTTTGTATAGGTCCTGGACTATTGCGTCCCACCGCATGGTTGGGTCCGCGGCCAGGAGTGAGCGGAATGATCGGTCATACTCCTGCAATGCCTCAAATCGAAATTTCCGGGCTACTTTCAGGATAATCTGCTGGTACGCAAACAGCTCTGGGGCCCTGGAGGGGTGTGCTGTGGCGTGAATCGCGCAGTATGTTGTCCAGGCGTCAAGCCAGGTGTCGATGTTCTCGACCTTCCTGGAGGGCCTGTTGGCCGGTGCTAGGACCACTGCGCCGTGCAAGCTGTCGTGGTTGATCTGGAGAATGCTGCGGCTGGTGTCCCCTTGGGACGGGTTAGGCAGCAATGAGCCCAATTCAAAAAAATGGCCATTTACTACTTTATAGTGAATGGCTTTCGGCACGGTTGCATAAAACGTTCTCTTACCTGCGGGGTGCATTGGCGATGAGACGGCAGCCGCCAAATGCGGAGCAGGCAGAGCGTCATGCGAAGTTGCTGGTGCTTGCCGTGGGAGTGCCGCTGCGTGAACTCACGGTGGGGGTGCCGCTGCGTGAGCTGCCGGCGGGACTGGAGCTGCGGCCTGATTTCCAAGGGCAGCGCGGACCTCCTCCCGGACATTGTCCCTCAGGGACGGAGCAGCAGTTGCCTGGGGTAGGTTCTGCTCGGCTGCCTGAGTGGCCAAGTCCTCGCGCACTGCAGTTAACTCCAATGACTCGAGCAGGCGAGTCAACAGCCTGGGTTTGGTCCCCGTCGTGTCTAAATTGCAGGCCGCCAGTTCTTGTCGCAGCTCTATAGAGAGCATTTTCTTGGCGTCGTTCACTGACAGAGATTCCGACATGGTTGCTCGGAAATGGAAAGTGCTCAATGCTCAAAAACTGGCCGAGGTTGTCAAGCGATCTGACTGTTGGCGCAGCAAGGATGAAGAAGAAACAGCATCGAGAGCCGGAGTAATGCGCATGCTCCGCGTGGTCCCGTGCCGGAGCGCGGGAGTTCGGAGAGCGGGAGTTCGGAGTGCGTGTTCTGCACGGGCACGTGATGCGCTATGGCCAGAACAGGCAAATATGTAAAGAATGCAATTGTTGGTGCGTTGCTAACTTCACTTACCGTGCCATGCACGGAAACTTATATGTATGGATACCCCGCAGGATGGAGCCTACGGAGGAGGTTTCCATAGAGAAAATAAAATGTTAATTGGACAGGAGAAATGTTCTGAGTGCAGAAAACATACAGTAAAGGTTTAAAATGTCACCTTTACATAACTTGATGTGCAACGAAAGACCTGGCAATTAACACCAGTTGTAGTCTTCGGGGTGCCAAGTCGAGTGGTCTTAGTCCGAGGACGTTCATACGCTCCCTTCCTCCTTTATTCCCAATCAAAACTCACCACTTCCAACGGAACTGGGTGGTTGCACCCTACTAGATTGCACTTAGCATGCAAATCCCCATCTAGAAGGGTGCAGTGACCCAGTTTCGGTGGAAGTGGCTAATCGACTGGGAATAAAGGAGGAAGGGAGCGTCTCAACTTCCTCGGACCAAGACCAATCGAGTAAGCTACCCGCAGACTACAACTGGTGGAAATTTGATAACAGGGTTAAATTAACTTTGCCTTTCAGGGTTATGATTTAACTTGTGAATCAATGTCTGTAACGACCAAATATCACGGGGCATGGACAAACTTCCGATTTCACCACGTGACATGTTATCACTACAGACATTGACTCTGAACATGCAGGCATGTTTGTGTGCCGCGCAGTCCGGCAGCCAGGCAGTAACTTTCAGTATATTGCTGGCTGGATCCGATCACTCTGCGCATGCCCATTCGTCTGTTGAGTCCTTCACCTCTCCGGAGCAGGTTGTCGTTTCGGTGTGATTGATGGTATTATTATTATTATTATTATTATTATTATTATTATTATTATTATTATTATTCGAAGTCTGAAGAAAATGTTGAACAGTCTCTGCTGGGATGACGACTACACCATAGCTCAGTGGTTAGAGCATCGCTGGCTACAAGCGAGGGTCCCTGGTTCGAGTCCTGGTGGTGACAGTCAATTTTTTCTTCAGACTTTTCCCGTTTGTCTCTTTCCCTCAAACCAGTTAACATTATTATTATTATTATTATTATTATTATTATTATTATTATTATTGACTGATTTGAGGGAAAGAGACAGTCAATATTATTATTATTATTATTATTATTATTATTATTATTATTATTATTATTATTATTATTATTATTATTATTATTATTATTATTATTATTATTATTATTATTATTATTATTATTATTATTATTATTATTATTATTATTATTATTATTATTATTATTATTATTATTATTATTATTATTATTATTATTATTATTATTATTATTATTATTATTATTATTATTATTATTATTATTATTATTATTATTATTATTATTATTATCGCCTTCTTAGTATTTGACCCCACTAATTTCCCTGATACCTAAGCGGTCAAATATATCGCGTATTTGACTGCTTAGTCAAATACATGATATATTTGACTACTTATATTTGACTCCTTATAACTTCTTGGACTTAGAAATTTTCTCTCCAACTTAGAAAAAGAAATTGTTGAAGAAAGCAGAAATACACAAGATGGGATTTGAACCCACAACCTTGTGAATCTCAGTCACTCTTCCTTACCACCCAGCCACTGTGCTACAGATGCTGAACCTAGTTTAAACAATGATTTTGACTTTTAATGCAGTACAATGCAGTATAGGCTATAGTATAATACTAGAATTACAAGGATATGTCGTATATGAAGAGAAACTATTGCGTGGAGAACACGATAAATAGATTATAGACCTCATAGTTGGTCTATACAGGATATATAGACCTCGTAAAAGACCTCGGGGGACCTCAGTCTTTTACTCGGTCTATATATCCTGTATAGACCTCCTAACCGGTCTATAATCTATACTTATTATTATTATTATTATTGAAGTCTGAAGAAAACATTGAACGGTCTCTGCTTGGATGACGACTACACCATAGCTCAGTGGTTAGAGCATCGCTGGCTACAAGCGAGGGTCCCTGGTTCGAGTCCTGGTGGTGACAGTCAATTTTTTCTTCAGACTTTTCCCGTTTGTCTCTTTCCCTCAAAACCAGTTAATATTATTATTATTATTATTATTATTATTATTATTATTATTATTATTATTATTATTATTATTATTATTATTATTATTATTATTATTATTATTATTGTGGAAGAGAAAAGACATATGGATACGAGTTAAGAGTAACTCTCCATCACTGTAACATGATACTATATACAGTCAGAAAGTGCAATAACTAGGCACAAAACTGACAGAGTACTGAAACATTCGA